TGCCTGAAGATGACATCAGTTCTCCCAAAAATCTTACAGGCGAAAATGATGGGCATGTCCCTAACGTAAGCCTGCCAAGCGTAGGCAAGGCTAAGCCTGCTTTGAACCGTAACACCGCGGCACGACACGGGACCGCACGGGCTTGGGCCGTGTCGAGCTGACCCCCCCAAGTTATCCCAAGGGAGGGCAACACGACCTGTTTTACATAGTTCTCATTATAAATATATTATAATATTAAGCCAAATCACTTTAAATGTCTAGTCAGCTTATATCCCTTTTTTTTTGTATTTCTCAAAAAAAAACAAAAAACAAATGAAACGAATCACTTGTAAATCGGGACCCACTTATGAAAAAGAACGGTCGTGAAACACACCGGTCCCAAACGTCCTCTAAGTTAGTGATGAAAGAAGTTAATTTACCAAAATACCCATTCGAGAAACTTCTATAAAATTGAAATTGCAACAAGAAACAAGAAACAAGAAACTTATATAAAATCATGGAATTGCAACAAACACAATATGCAAATAATTTTATCAAGCAAATCAATAACAAATGAAAATTGAAAAATGCTAAAAAATCGATGAAAAAAGGGTAATTTGGAAAATTAGAATAGTTTAAACAATCACATGGAAAATTAATGGAATGCTAACATAGGAATCCTTAAAAGTTTAGGGGGTAATTGCCACTACAGTGTAATAATATGTGCTTTATCAAAAAACAAATGTAGGGATATTATCTAAAACTCATCATAAATCTTTTTAAATTTCTCCTAAATTTACCATGTTTTCAAAATATCCAAAGAGTCTCCTATAATTGAGTTTTATTGTCCAAAACTTACCTTTTGTTAAGATTTCCATTAAATCACCATTAGTGACCATTAATAGAATTTGTCCATGTAAGCATATAAGTATTTTACATGACCAAACTACCTTCGAATGACCAATCAAATTTATCAAATGATTTTGTGACAAAATTACCGCTGACCCGCACCCAGGTCCACACTAGGCCCACAAAATTTAGAGTTGGGCCTAGGCCTGAACTTCAAGTTGGGCCTAAGTCTCTTTTTTTGGTAGAAATGTTGGGCGTAGGCTTGAAGTAATTTTGTCATAAAAATATTTTATAAGGTTGACCAACCATTTTAGGGATAATTTGGTTATGTAAAATACCTAAATGCTTACATGGACATCATTGTTATATTGGTTTTGGGCCTTGTACATTTACAATTTTGTAATTTATTCGGATAAGTACACTTATTCATGTAAATGGTTTCTAAGTAACATTTTGGATAATTTCATTTATTCATGTTCTTTTTATTTTTAGATAAATAATACAATTTTTATAATTTTTTTCTATAAGATAAATAAAATTTTACCTAAATAAATAAAACTCTCTTTACCGTAGTGAATTTTAAATAATATATCCCAAAAAATTATAAGATTCCATTTCACATATTGTTTCTTTCTACACGTGAAACTTCTCGCACACATTCCCGATTCGGTTCTACGAGGATCAAATCCGAATTCCAATATATGTGGCCGAACCGCCGAAGTCGAATAAGATGACCCGCTAGGAGCTAGTCGATAAGTTTGTGAGGCTGTCAACATCTAGCACCTACCATAGCACGAGACGGGAGATGTTCCAAATGCATAGTAAAGGATGTGCAAGTAAGGCGCCAGATTTGAGAGCAGATCCGGTCTCCCATAGCACCATTTGCTTTGCGCTAAAAAAAATCGAGGCCTTTGATTTGAGCCCCGATTTATTGCTGTGGCCCCGTCAAGATGTCAATAAATCAAGGGCTACAGGACAAGGTGGAGGCGTGGAGCGGCTGAAGCCACACCAATAAATCAAAGGCTCTGATTTATTATGAGTCAATGCCCAAGTCCTACAGCCTACAGGACAACTGGACAATAATTATTTTCCCTCTTTCTGTTCTTTACGCCCCTCTCTTTCTCTCCACCGACAAGATGTCGACGAATCCCTCCGGGAGTGGAGCACACATATTAGTATTTCCTTTTCCTGCGCAGGGTCACATGCTACCGCTTTTGGATCTCACCCACCAGTTGGCCATTCGTAGCTTAACCATCACCATACTCGTCACACCCAACAACCTCCCCTTTCTACATCCTCTTCTCTCCAAACACCCATCCATCCAAACCCTCGTCTTCCCTTTCCCCCATCACCCATCTCTTCCCCCCGGCGTCGAGAACGTCAAGGACATCGGAAACCGCGGCAATACTCACATCATAAGCGCCCTTTCTGCACTTTCCGATCCCATCACCCAGTGGTTCAACACTCACCCTTCCCCACCCGTAGCCATCCTCTCTGATTTCTTCCTCGGTTGGACCCAGCACCTCGCTTGTCGCCTGGGTGTACCCCGGATTGCCTTCTACTCCTCCGGCGCATTTTTAGCCTCCATTCTCGACGTTCTCTGCCCGAAGCTCGGAACTATATATCCCTCCTCATCTCCCATCTCCTTCCCCAGCCTCCCACATTCCCCTTCCTTTCCTTACAACCACCTTCCCTCTATAATCCGTCTCTACAGGGAATCGGATCCCCACTGGCAGATCGTCAAGGATGGCATGATCGCAAATTCCTCGAGCTGGGGTTGCATTTTGAACACGTTCGATGCGCTGGAGGGCGTACATCTAGATCACCTGAAGAAGGCAATGGGTCACCACCGTGTTTGGGGTGTGGGCCCTCTGGTTATGATGGAGGGTGCTGGTGCTGGACCTGACGAACGAGGTGGGCCCAGTTCGGTGTCACTTGCTGATGTGCTGGAATGGCTCGACCGTTGCCCGAACGAGTCCGTGCTTTACGTTTGTTTTGGTAGTCAGGTGCTGCTGCCGAAACGACAGCTGGAGGTTTTGGGAGCCGGGTTAGAACGAAGTGGGGTCAGATTTATTTGGACCGTTAAGATGACGATGCCGGGGCAGGAAGCAGACGATCGCGAGGTTATCCTTAAGGAGATCGAAGATCGGGTGGCGGAGAGAGGTTTGATTATAAGGGGATGGGCCCCACAAGTCCCAATACTGAACCATCGAGCCATGGGCGGGTTCCTGACTCACTGCGGGTGGAACTCGGTGATGGAAGGGATTACGGCAGGGGTGCTGTTGCTAACCTGGCCGAGAGAAGCTGACCAGTTCGTGAATGCCAAGTTGATGGTTGAGGACATGGGTGCGGCAGTGAGGGTGGTCCATGAGGTGGGCATTGATGCCGTCCCTGACCCGGATCGACTCGCTAAAATCATATCCGATTCATTGAGCGTGAACCGGCCCGAGAGAGTCCGAGCTAGGGAGCTGTGCTCCGAGGCTTTTGCTGCAGTCAAGGAAGGTGGGAGCTCTTCAAGAGCGTTGGATGGGTTAATGGAGGAATTACGTCAACTTCAGCGGAGGACTACAGGCCTCAGCTAGTGCTTCTGGTATTAATATCAGAGAGGTAGAAGGAATAAATTAGTTAGGAATTATTTTGGGTGGTGAACGACATGGTGTATGAGTGATCGTTTTCTGTTTTTTGCTGTATGACCATATATATGGTCTTTGTCTATCTAGAAAGGGAACCAGATTGATCGTTATTTCAGAAGTGGTAAGCATTATACCACACTGGTATAGTGGTATATTCAATAAAAATTCTCAGGCCGGCCCAACCCATGAGAAATTTTATTGAATGAAAGATAAAAATTGTGTGAGTTTCATTGTTCACTCAGGAGTCAGGCCGGAGGTATTCTTCCTTCGTTGTGTTGTGCGATGAGACAACCTACGCCTTCATGGTTTGATGCAATGTATAGTAGGAATTCTCTTAGGGCCTGTTTTATCTGTTCGAAGGCCTTTTTATGGTTGATAGTTTAAATTAAAGAAACAACAAGAAGAATAGAGAAAATAGATATGAGGGGAGTCGACTTCAGTGTATTGGAGCACTGAAGTTAATGGTATTTATAAGCTTCAATGAAGTGTACAAGATAACAATATTGTGGATGAGCAGCAAGGTAGGTAACACCAAGATTGTCACACCATATTGTGGGCTTGGAGACTGGAAACCCTAGATTGGTCAAAAGAGACTGAATCCACAAGACTTCAGTTACAGTATTGGCGAGATACCAAAATTCAGATTTTGTACTGGAGAGAGCCACAGTATGTAGCTTCTTAGAGCTCCAACTTATGAGGTGGCAACCCAAATAGATTGCAAAGCCACCCATAAACCGGCGATCATCTGGACAGCTTGCCCAGTCAACATCCGTGAAGGCATTCAGCAGAAGGGAAGTAGAGGATGAAGCAAAATGCATGCTACGATCTAGAGTTCCCTTAAAATAATGCAAGATGCATTTGACAGCAAACCAATGTTCATCAGTCGGGGTTTGAAGAAACTGACAGACCTTGTTAACTGAGAAGGAGATATCCGACCTAGTGAGGGTGATGTACTGCAGTGCACCAACTATACTCTGGTACTCAGATGGATTTAAGAGAGGTGTGCCAGACGTCCTGCTTAGCCGAGTAGATGCTGCCAGTGGAGAGCTACAGGGTTTTGCTCCGTCAAGTTTGGTACGATGCAACAAATCTAGAATGTACTGTTTCTACGAGAGATCAAGACAATTAGAGGTCCATTGCGCCTCGATCCCAAGAAAATAATGCAATGTGCCAAGGTCCTTGACAGGAAACACTACAAAGATCTGCTGAAGTAGAGAGAAAATAACAAACGGAGAATTGCCAGTAACAATGATATCATTGACATACACCAAGGTGTACACAATAATAGACTTATTCTTGTAAACAAATAAGGAAGGTCAGCCATAGAATTGTGAAAACCCAATTGAAGAAGAGTGGAAGTCAGACTAGAGTACCAAGCACGAGGGGCCTACTTGAGCCCATACAAGGCCTTCTTCAATTTGTAGACATAATCTGGGTAGTTAGGGTGTTCGAACCCCTTGGGTTGTCGAACATAGATGTCCTCTGCTATAAGACCATGGAGAAAGGTATTGTTGATGTCTAGTTACCGAACATATCACCGATGAGTAGTAGCAAGAGCTAAAATGGTATGAACTGTGACGAGTTTGACTACCGGATTAAAGGTATCAATGAAATAGACACCAGGTACTTGATGAAAACCTTGGGCAACAAGTCTGGCCTTGTACCACTCCAGAGAACCATCTGATTTCCTCTTACTTTTATATACCCATTTAGTACTAACTACGTTCATGGAATGATGATAAGGCACAAGATCCCATGTTTGATTCCTCAAAAGAGCATCAAACTCTAGTTGCATAGTCGATCTCCATTGGGGAGATTTGGCTGCTTCTTTATAGGAGTGGGGCTTGTCGAAAGAGATTGAGTTGAGTAAAGCGTCTGAATTGGGATATCGTGTGGTTAGATGAGATCGAGCAGGTAGAGTGCCATCTATAGAATGTGTAGTCATGGAATGTTGTCGGGTGGGTGGTGGTACAGCTGGTGTGTGAACCAACAAGTCCTCCATCGTACGAAAGTGGGGCTGCCTATGGACAGAAGCTTGGATGGGAGAAGAGTTCTCAACTAAATTGGAAGTGGTGTTTTCAGGTAATGGTGCTGCAGTTGGTGGCGGAACTGAAGGAGGAGATACCTGTTGGGGAGATGTCGGAATATGTGAAGGTACATGTAGATAGAATCCCGGTTGATCTGTACTAGTGGATGATGGAGCTGGAGGAATTCTAGGAAATAATCCTTCATCGAATACCACATGGCGGGCAATGAATTCTCGACCCGTCGATGGGTGAAGGCATTTGTACCCTTTATGAGAGTGACTATAGCCAAGAAAGATGTACTACAAAGAGCGATACTGAAATTTGTGGGCATTGTATGGTTGTAGGAGAGGATAACAAGCGCATCCGAAACACCGTAGCATAGAATAGTCAAGGTTTTTCTAAAACAACATCTGAAAAGGAGATGAATCTTGCAAAGTGGGAGACGGAAGCCGATTAATCAAGTATACGACTGTCTCAGCTGCATCAGCCTAGAAGCAGAAGGGGAGCTTGGAGGTAGCCAGTAGAGCGAGAGTGGATTCAATTATGCGGTGATGCTTTCTCTCAACTATGCCATTTTGCTCATGTGTGTGCGGACAGGACACCCAATGAGAGATACCCTGTGAATCAAGATAGAAGAGAGCTTACGATACTCCCCTCCCCAATCAGATTGAAAAACAAGAATTTTGCTATTGAAAAACAATTCAACATGTCGCTTGAATTTTAAAAAGACCTAAAAAACACAAGATTTTTGTGCTAAGGGATATATCCAAGAGAATTTGGAATAATCATAAAAAATAACACATAATAAGAATACCCTTTATTAGACTTAATTGGGGAAGGACCCCACACATCAGAAAAAATTAATTCCAATGGACTCTGAGACCTAAACGAAGACAAAGGCAAAGACAATCGACGACTCTTACCCATTTGACAAGATTCACAAACAAACAAACTAGAATTTTGACCAGTATACGGTAGACCATACTAAGAGATGACTTGTTGGATGGTATGAAGTGTTGCATGACCAAGACGCTGATGCCAACCTTGAAGGTTTGTCCATTCACCAACAAGAGCAGACGGTGCAATTGTCGAGTTGTGTGAAATGGTTGTTGTTGATGGGAAGCAATACAACCCTCCTCTTCTGACTCCTTGAAGTAAGATTTTCCTCGTATAATCCTTCACAAAACAACAGTCATGGTAAAACTTAAAAAATATATTGTTGTCCTTTGTAAACTTGCTAACAGACAATAAATTTTTGTAGATTGCAAGAATGTGACATATATCGTTCAATGTGAAAGCATGTTGGTTACAAAGAAGAGATGAAGAACCAGTGTGTTTTATTTCCAAACCTTGTCCGCTACCCATTTGACCTGATCTGAAACCCAGATATTCTGACCGATTTTGGATGTTATCGACACCGAATGTTATATGATGTGTTGCGCCATAATCCGGATACCATGTTGGATCAAATGAAGAGTTACCATTGTTGTAGGAAGGCGCAGTAAGATTATTGTAGGCAGCGGGTTCATAATTTTGATCATTGTTATTGGCGAAATTATATTTTGCCTTCCTGCAGGTGAATGCACCATGTCCTGGTTTGTTGCAGACCTGACAGATAATCGGAGGTGCCTTACCTCGTCCACCATTAAAGAGTTGATTCTGGTTGTGATTATGTTGTGGATTAAAGTTTTGAAAATTTTGTTGTTGACCTCTCCCTCGACCTTTACCGTGGCCGTACATATTTTGAGATTGTTTTTTCTAATTTTGGAAACTTGTATTATTTTCCGGTTTCACTCCAGCTACATTAGCAGCCGATGAAGTACCCAAGTCGGACAAGATGAGTCATTGCTCTTCGACCCAACTCTCATGGTTCAGAAGAGAGCTAATAATATCATGCACACCAAGGGTATGCTCATCTAGCCTATGGGTTATAGTAGTCACAATAGATTCATATTCATTCCCTAACCCAGCTAGATTATACAAAACCAAATCAGATTTACGAACAGGTTTAGCAACAATAGACAAACTGTCTGCTATGGATTTTGCTTTTTGAATGTAAGCAGAAATAGATAGATACCCCTTCTTTAAACTGTGCAACTGCTTCCTAAGTTGTAGAATACAAGATCTAGCATGGGTTGAATAAGAAGTAGCAAGAGAGCACCATGTCTTTGTCGAAGTCGAAAATTCTACAACTTGGGCCATGACGCCCTCAGTAAGAGAAGAGATTAACCACCTCAGACCAAGTTGATCAGTATCATACCATTTGACATATTTTGGATTCAATATACACCCTTTGCTTGTTGGATCAGGTATCATCTCTAGTGGAGGTTGCTTTTTCCCTTCAACAAGATCCATCAGATGGTGATGTCAAAGTATAGGAAGAAACTGCATACGCCACAATAGGTAGTTGTCATTGCCTAGCTTGATGGGGAGATAGTGCATCACATTCTAAAGAGAGGGAATCAAAGATGTCGATTCTGAAATATTCGAACCAGCATCCACATTGGTTCGGCTGCCATTACTTCCTTGAGAGAAATCCTTTGGTTCTGATACCAAGTTTAAACTAAAGAAACAACAAGAAGAATAGAGAAAATAGATATGAGGGGAATCGACTTTAGTGTGTTGGAGCATTGAAGTTAATGGTATTTATGAACTTCAATGAAGAGTTTGGATCATACAGTGACGTACAAGATAACAATAGAAAACTAGATAGAGTACAAGATGGATCATCTTGATCCTAAGTTATAGTCCTTATCCTTATCTTTCTCAAAGTCCATATTGGTTTGGAGTTTTGTATCTGTTAGGATAATCTCCAAGATGATTATCTCCAATATTGATGATTGTTCGAATCGCATGACTAGGGTACTTGGTTGCTCATCTAATTTCACTTTTTTGAGCAAAGATTCATGATCAAGATCATCTTGCTTTTATTGCATTCAAAAGGAGGTGGTGGGGGTGAAGATGGATCATCTATCACGCATGCATGCACTAATTTCCAAGTCTAGTGTAAGCGCCCCTCTTGGGCTCGTGGTAGGTGTGTTGCCTTCTATCTACTCCATATGCTTCCTACCACGACTTCTGCTATTGCGGGGAAGGTTTGTGTTGTTGAGAGGTTAGAGCTGCGACAATTCTCGTTTTCCTTTCCGCACACCTCCATAGCTGGTCGAAGTTGGCTAGCTTAACGTTATCTATCCTGATTCAGTAGGCAGGTTGCACCCCTCAGATATATTATTCCACGAAGTCTTTCTCCATGGTGTGTTCGTCGAACATGATGAACCATTTGGTCATGGTGAGACGTCACACTAGTGTGAGCCATTTGGACAAATGTTTCTTGGCCAGCTCCTCCCACGAGTCTAGAATTTGGCATCAGACTCACAAATCAAGAGTGCGTTGGCCTAGTCAGGGACTGAGAGTTCTTGGACATTAAGGTTCTAAGAGAGGATGAAGGGACCCAGAGAATCTTCAAACATGCTCTTGAGGGCTCCTTTTTTGCCCATTGTATAGGGGCCATTGCTGGGGTCTTGCTCTGGCTAGCCTCTATCAAGGTTTGGACATATTCATGGAGCTCAGTCTTGCTCATAGGTGCTTTAGGAGTGTGGTACCTCCCATTTTCCATGACTATTAGGGCTAGCATGGAAAAGTGGGAGGTCTAGCCCGTATTCCTCATCGAGAAGGCAGAATTATGGATATTGTAGGCCTAGGGTTTGGGTACAATGGCTTGAAGATGGACGACGGGTCGGGTGGATTAGCCAACTTGGGTGAATGGTGCGATTTCCGATGCTACTTAGGGGTGATCATGGGTTGGGCCGGGCTTTGCACTTATGATAAGGGCTATAGCTTAGGCCCGGGCCTGGCTCGACCTGGGGTTTCGGGCCTGAAACATAAGCCCTAGCCCTAGTCTATATGGGTTTGGGCCGGGTCGGGCCTGATTTCGGGCCAATGTCTCTCATATATAAAACATTAAAGATCTATATATTAAATGACATAACATGCATATAAATTTATTTTATACATTACATAATATAAAATATTACATATAATATAAATTATACATGTCATGTTATAATATTTATATATAAAATAACATGTATACATATGTATACATTATACACAAAATGTGCAAGTTTAAATATATGTGGGCCGGGCTTGAAGTATTAAGACCAAGCCCGGCTCTAAAATTGCGAGCCTGATGTGGGCCCGGTCCTGGGCTGTGCCTAAACACAAAACCCAAGCCCAAGCTCGGAATTTCCAGGCCGGGCTGAAATGATCACCCCTAGTGCTACTGTTTGTGGTTGAGACATTGGAGTTGTAGCATCTCCTTCATCTTTGCTTGCTCCAATTGGTCAATGCAATCGAACTTTTGGAGAGGCACCTACATTGACATTAGATTAATTAGGGCAAAATACAAAAGCTTCCCTTGTGGTTTCTAACAATTATAACCTCCACAATAATTTCATTGTAATAAATATCTTCTCTCAACTTTTAAGAAATTCGACAAAAACCTTACTTTCGTCATTGACCTAGATAGAAAGTGTTAGTTGATGCATAACTTTTTAAAATACTGATTTTACCCTTTTATTACTATCCCAAATGGAAAATGTCACTAACCACCCGTGCGACAAAAGCATTAGCGCCACCACTTCTGCCAAGATCAAGGTAGGTCTTTGCCTTTTTCCTTCTCATTGGCTTGGCCAGGCTTTACTCAGACCTAGATATGTTTCTTCCTCGCCGGACCAGCAGGAAAACCCAAACACTTCCTCGTTGGCTTGTCTCAGCCCAAAAAGAAAAAACTTGCCTGTCGTCTCTCGGCCATTATAAATGCCATCAATGTCTGCAAGCTTCCTCTAGAACTCCTTTGCCGAGAGAACAAATCTACATCCTCATTTCCTCTGTCTCGTCCATACTATCCTATTTCTCTTTGCATTTACTTTATTCTCCTGGGTTGAGTAAATACGGGTAACAAATCATCAGGGTTTGCGATGAAGTGAGAAAAGCTCAGCACAGGAAGGAGTTTTCGATGAGGTTGCAATAGAAGAAAACAAACTTGTCAAATGTACTTCTTTGTTTCCATAAATTAAATACAAGAAAGTTTTAGATATCTATAAGTGACGGAGAGGCAGGTTAGTTGCAATCTTAAATCGTGTACAACTGTCTTGCCAGGTCTGCATATTTTAGTTTTAATTGTCTAACCGCCGTATGTCCTTGCTAACAATGGGAACTGATGTCTCACCCAACGGCTAACTAGTTGAATCCGTACTCACCCACACTTGATTACAACAACACTGAGAAGGAGAGAAATATGTGGAACACGGACTCTGCAAGTTCCTCTATATGCGTCTACCTGAGGTCATGCCCACCATAAATAGTTTCTTCTCTTCTACAGACTAAATAGGCTAAAGCAGTAAAGCACAAACACAATTTGAGAGTTCATATCAATCAATTTCCATTTTTATTGACTTAAAAGTAATAGCCATGTATTATTATTACTTTTCCAACTCTAAAAGATAATGGAGTAACTTAGTTCCATATTTCAATTTTTAAACATATGCCATGATCCTTTGTTCTCCTCGCTCTCTCTCTCTACAAATAACTCTTGCCTATCTATTAGATGTGTAATATTCATATTTAGAACTCTCTTTTATGTGATAACTTAGAAGAAAGAAATAAGAGGTTGCACTAGCGTCACTTGGCAAAACTAACATGATAAATTCGTTGTTTGAAATCCAAAAGCGCTTCAATTTTTCCTATATTATCAACGTTTCAGAACCACACTGCTACAACCTCAAAGGCCAAAAGAGCATTGGTGAAGGGAAGCACATTTCTATGATCAAAGTACCCAAACTTCAATTCCATATTGCCATGATTAGCTCTGATGAAGCTTTAGTATATATTTGGCATTGATGCTGCAGATTGCTGCTGATGTGTGGGTTGGAAGTACCGTTTTCTCAGAAAATGGTGTCTTTTTTTTTGTTTGAAAATGTTGCTGCTAGGTAGGACATTTCCTAGAGCAACAACGACACCTTCTATTTGGTACCAGTGCTTCATATTTGTTTTCAGCATTGATACTTATTATAGGAAGTCCACATCACTGCCACATCATGTCCTCGTTGGCAACAATGAGTTCCAATATGAGAAAACGTCAAATTCGGCGTTGCTCTAAACCACGCCTTTTTGATTTCCAAGGCATGTCTTGGAGCACCGTTTTTATGGAAAACGGTTCCAAACATATTGACGTTTCCTAAAGCACCATTTTTTTTGTTACATGGCGCTGATGTATTCCCGTTTTCTGGAGCAACAACATCAATGCCAAACAAACGCTTAGTTAAGGAAGACGCTAAAACTGCAACTATGCCTTCAAAGTCCAAACCATATAATTCTTTCTTAGCCACTATCTCAATTCCTCTGAACACTAAAGAGAATTTTGAATGGCAACACCTAGATAAGCAATTTCCTAGGATCCAAACAGTTTATGCAACTACATCAGAATCATTGTTTGGTAAGTATCGGCCTCTTTGTTTCTCATACAAGTTTTAGGTTTGAAGTCAAGAATAAAGACAATGCTTTTGTTATAACTTTGCCATGTGATCTCTAATAAGAGACAGAGAGCCATCTTCTAGTTTGGTATTGATTACAATGACTAACTGGCCAATTCCCGTTGACTTTATCAATTACCATCAGAGCCCTAATCGCCTTTTTTAAGTTCCAAATAAAATACGAAGCAAAATTACTGATTAGCAGTTAGCCCTGAAGAAAGCACTCGCTAACAGATTAAACGGAGGTGATGCCAAATGGATTGAAGATTCTGAAATTCTAAAAGTGCAGATGTGTGGCATCAATGATAAAAGTATTCCAATACACCTTTTGGATGGCAGTTGTTTGGGCTCAAGTGGGAGAAAGAATTCGTTCAAATGAAAATGAACAAATTCAGTTGAGGATCCCCTCTTATGAGAGTGGTTTGATGGCCATAGTTGTAGCTAGACCTATTCATGGGCTGGACTTCAGGCATGACTTTACACTCTGTCGGGTTCGGGCTTCGGGTTGGGCCCATTCAAATTTTGGCAAAAGCCCAGCGAGAGACCGGCCCATGAACAGGTCTAATTGTAACTAGCTAGTGCTTATTCGTTAGCAGAAATGAGGGAAATTGGGAAATGTTGGTCAGAGCAAATATGGTATTTTATGATTTCTTTAAATGATGTCCTAGGGTAATTTTGTAAATATATATGTTTTCCGTCTACGTCAATAACGGAAGGGAGGTTTTTCTTCACAAAAATTCAAGGGATGTATTTATTTCGACGAAACTATAGGGCAGGTTGTTATGATTGTCGAAACTTTAGGGGAGGTTTATGAAGAAGGAGATATACCTTGAGAAACCAAGAGATAAGAAAATAACGGTGGCCTGACTTGATACTATAAATGATTGGAGAATAATTCGGAGTCTGAAAGTCTCATGTCATTTGATGTGTTGGTGTGAGTATTTATATACAGATTGTGTTTTGATTACAAAATTTGAAAACAAGACCAAAACAGTTATCAGTCTTGACTTGATTTGTAACTGCTGGATCTTCCATTGGTTGAGTTCGTTTGATGGTCCAACTAAAACAGTTAATTACCATAACCAGTGAAAACTAAATTCTATTTGTCTGAATCTGAGAGTATTGATTCGTACCTGTAACGTCCAACTTGACCCAGGTCAGAGGAGTTAGTGTGGAGTGAACAGAAAATCTTTTAAAATATAAACTTCCTGCAAATCATTTGTCATTTCCTTCACAGTCTGCAACTCCTGCTGGAAAGAATTATGAGCAGAATGAGAAGGTCTCCAAATTCCCTCGTTTTCATTTGTTTCACTATTTTCTCCCATGCCTTGGTAGCCAGAGCAGACAATCCTCTGGCACCAGCATTGTACGTGTTTGGAGACTCTCTACTTGACAGTGGCAACAATAATTTTCTACCAACAATTGCCAAAGCGAATTACCTGCCATATGGGGTAGACTTTGCCGGTGGCGTCACGGGGAGATTCACCAATGGCAAAACAGTCGCAGATTACATTGGTGAGTCATGGTGTCAATATGTAAAACATTGAAATTAACCCAAAACAAATTTGTTTCTGGGTTGCAGAATTTTCTTCTGCTGTATTAATTAATCTCAATCCTACTTGTTGTATATTCTTCCACAGCTGAACAACTTGGGCTACCATACGCTCCTCCATCCATGAGCCTGTTAAAGTCTGGTACTATAACTGGCCGGAATTATGCGTCTGGATCATGTGGCATTCTCCCATTGACTGGAAGCGAATTCGTAAGGAATCATATCTACTACTAGTCATTAGATATATACATTAAGTGCTTCTCGATCTCTCGGTTTCTTTTGTTTTCTCCAGTTTGGACTAATGGGTTTTGTGCAGGGTAAGTGCCTCAACCTAGATGATCAGATCAACTTGTTCCAAAAGACTATAGAGATGGAGCTGCAACCACACTTGGGCAGCTCCAAAGACCTTTCAGACTACCTTTCCAATTCCATCTTTGTTATCAATATTGGAAACAATGACTACGGCGGCTACCTTGTATCTTATGTTTCTAAAACCAATTTAATGTACACTCCTCAAGCATTTGCTCAACTACTCAAAGACGGACTTTCTCAACGCTTGGAGGTAAATATTCACCATTCACTGTTCAGTGTCCACTTTCCTAAAGCACACTGTTTTCTTTTTATCTGTATATATATATATATCCAACCTTCAATTTGAACTCTGAACCTGAGTAGTAACTAATCCTATATAGTACAGCCAGAATACGTAGCATAAGTCATTTTAACCATTTTTAATTTCTGTTGAGGTGTCACAAGGGAATCCTGAACGGATTGGATGCATGCAAACTCTTGGCGGTGGGGGTGGGCAAGAGCCACGCCTTTTGCTACGATAGCCCTGCTCTCTGAAATAACAACATCAAAGCCTTTGATGCATAAGATGACCCCATCTTGAATTAGCCAAACTTAAGGCCATGACCAGGACACTGTGGAAGCAAGGGATATGGTTCAAGTTTGAACAGATCGTGGCCCGCCCATGTCTGGTTTTCACTTTTTTTTTGGTTGCAAGATGTGGATGGTTCATGGTTGATTTCTCATAGGATGGCTCGCCCAAATGGGTCATGGTTTTTATTGCCATTCAGTTCAAACTCGTGAAAGGTTACTGGTTCCTGATTTCATGGTCTGACCACCCGGCCGGTTCGATTTTGGGTCTTACTACACAGTTTACAGTGCAATCTGTGCAATGAAAAGATAATTCAAATGGGTATCTTAATTAGGATCATATTGATTTATGAATGTTAAATATTGGAATCTTGATGGCAATAACAAGTAGAGCAATAATAGCATATATATATGCATGGTACATTTATCCTTTGACTTATTGAGAAATATATAAATGGACAGACTCTTTACAAGTTGGGGGCCAGGAAGTTTCTAGTGTTCGAGATTGCTCCGATTGGGTGCATGCCAATATTTACAAGAATAGTACCACACGAAGGACCGTGTGTTGAAGAACTAAATCAGGTTGTATCAGTTTTCAATGATGGGCTTCCTGCAATGCTGAAACAATTGACTACTTCGCTCCAAGGCTCCACCTTTGCAGTGGGATATGGTTCGAAGCTTGGACATGATATGATCACAAATCCTTCAAAATATGGTGAGCATTGATATCAGAACTAATTCTTCAATTCGTACCCTTGAATAATCCGATCCCTACTATAAATATATATATATCTCTGCTAACTAACTACTGCTCAACAAATTTAAGGATTTACTTAACATCTGCGGATTTTCTTTATCAGGGCTAGGAGATACAACAGACCCATGCTGCATTGCGGCGAACAATGGAGCTTGGACCTGCATTCCAGGTTTCGTTTCGTGCTCCGACAGTGGCAAACATGCCTTCTGGGATGGTATGCACCTCACTGAAGCTATATATTCAACCACCGGCACCCGTTGCTTTAATGATTCTTCTGTCTGCTCTCCAACCATCCAGCAGCTCGTACAAGTTTGAAAAGCAACAATGAAGGACTCTCTCTCTCTCTCTCTCTCTCTTCTGTTTTTCTGTTTTGGTTTTAAATTTTTCCATCTATCTGATCGAAACCTGTGGAACCGACGTTGGCAAATTGCTATATATTGAGCCATTTTTTCACATGATGCTCTGTTTTGGTTTTAAATTGCAAGGACCATCTGTTGGCAAATTGCTTTTTTTTTTTTTTTTGAGTGAGGCTGGAAATGCATAAAAATAATCTTAAACTCTTACCAATCTCGATATGCAGCCAAAGCACCCGAGTGGAGCAGTTTTGGATGTCAATGGTATAACAATAGGGCCCACAGTCCACCAAATAAGATGGAGAATCAAATAGTCAAAACATAAGAAAATTAAACGAAGACATTCTCTATGGTATTAATAAGTTGATTACAAGAGATAAATAAAGACATATCATCACGTAAAATTGAAAACCAAAGATGAATTGTGGATTGATGATGCTCACCAACTCAATAGGTGAAGTCTTGTAGAAAACACCTTATTTTCTTTTTCTTTTTTCCCTTACTCTTTCTACTAAGAGGAAATAGTGAAAGAAGATAAAAGAAATAGTGAAGTGTGGGATCCACTGGCCACTAATATAAATTCTTTATCAACCCCAAAATTTACTCTGGGTGGAGGAGGGGAGGACGAGTCATGCATTAGATTGGGCTGCCCAAAACATTTCATGCCCAACAAGGAAATACATGTCCCATTAATGGAGGAGAGAAGCCCAACATGGCTAAAGCGACGAGAGACTTTACTCGCAAGCCAAATGGCACATTCATACCGAAAATGCTAAGCTTGGCTTGGCTAAGGTTCCAAATATTCAAGTTTTGGAGTATGTGGAGACGAAAATGGAGACAACCTGATTCCTCATTGTATCATAACACTAAATCAAAATTGAATTGATTTAAGACAAAAAAAAAAAACGGTGGTCTTCTACAAATAATGTTGTATGATACAATTTTATATAATGTGTCTTGAGTCTTAATTGATGCATTAGCAATAAAGTTGTATGATATCTAAGTATCCCGTCACATTGACTATAATGTATCTTTCTATATATATTATTAAAATATGCATTTTCAACATTGACTATAATTTTATTGTGTTAAGATATATGTAGGATTTGTAGGAGTTTTCAAAATGTATCTAGCTATGTAAATATCTTTTCACCTCATCCATACATTTTCAAAGTGTACCTATTATATCTGTATGGGTAAGATACTCGATATTGTGTACCTTTATTTTGAACTTTACCACACGAAGGCATTGATCAAGAATTTTACCTTCAAACATATGATGAAAGAAGCCAACAACCTAGCTGACTTGTTGGGTGAGGTTGGAGGACTTAGAAGGATGCTCTAAGCCTTTAACCCTTGCGTTTCCACCAACATAGACTGATGGTAGAGTAGTTGTTGGGATCTTTGACTAGTTGTAGTGGAGATCCGGGATCAAATTTTGTTGCCACCAAGGCTGGGGGTTATGGGTAGGCTTCTTCATGGGTCAGGCCAAATCAAGTTTAGGTCAGGCTTTGCCTCTATATTAATAGAATATGTTCAGACTTGGGCCTCAGCTTGGCCCGGCCATTGGGCATATAACTTAATCCTAAGCTCAACCATCTTATAAAGCCTGAAGCCTGATGTAGAAATTGGGCAAAAGAAGATTTTTATTTATGTTTTTACTTAACAACATTGATTTAATTATATTAAACCACCTGAAAACCCAAAAATACTGAAAGATCTTACTATTGCTTGGGAAAAGAGAAGAAGAACAAGATTTATTATATATAATATATATTTTTATCATATTATGGGGACTAGCCTATGCTCATGGGCCTAAAACCATGTCTAAGCCCAACAAAGAATGGATTAAGCTAGTCTGACCCATTGGGCTACTTAGCCCATAACCATGTCTAGTTATGGATGTGGGAGATGGGCTACCACTCTTATTTAACCTACCTTTTTGAGATCCTCTTTTATACTCTAGAAAAAAGGTAAATTATATATTACTTACTAGTTGTAGGGCCCTATGCGAAGCACGGGAAACGCTGCTATCCAATACGATGATAGAGGGATTAAAATTGAAGCAAAAGAGCAATGTAAGTATCGTTTTTGTTAGGAGAAATTGAAGCAAAAGGAGTCTTGTGACATTTCCAATTGGGTTGTTCTGGTTCAAGTCCAATTCAATTATTATTTTTGGGATATATGAGCTTTGTTAATTGTAATTAATTATTAATAAAGTTAAAGATTTTATTAATATTTTAAAACTTCTTAAATTTTAAGATTTGAATTTATATTTATTAACTAATTAAATTTATATTTTATTAATGTAATTATTTATAATAAAATTTATTTTAAATTATTAAAAGTAATTTATTTTTACCCAAATTATAATTTTTTAGAATATTATAATTTTATTAAGTGGATTTTGTTACTGTAAAGTTTTATTACTTAATTTTGAATTTTACTAATGAATTTGTAAATTACTAATTATAATAAAATTATTTGAAACCTACAAAGGATACAGTTTATCTCACAGCTCATTGTATAGACTCATGAAGCAAAAAAAAAAAAAAGAAAGAAATAGAAAAAAAAACAAAAACTGAAACTTGCAGCCATATACCAAATGGATAATTGAGTATTGTACAATAAATGAAGTTACATTTAAATTAATTAAGTTATTATGTAATTTTTCTTTGCTTAATTTAAAATTTGTCTTCCAAGTGTTTATTGAGTTTAATACTTCTATATATAACTACAACAAACAAAAAGAAGATATTGCTTGACAAAGGACTCATCTATTCCCTTCACCACCACCATGCTTTGGACCTTTTGAGTCTTCGCCACCAACTTATCCTTCTTCTCATCTTTAATTTGTCTACTTCACATGATGCAAACATATAAAAACGATAATATTTGGCATTCATAATCAATAAAAACATATGTTACATGATAAAAAATATAAATTAAAAAAAAAAAGAGTTTCAATGACTTACTTGACAATGATGGCACAAAGCTTAAGGTAGACAAAAAAAACTATATGGAAAAAAAATCATTTAAATAATATATTTAATATTCATTAATGTGTATAAAATGCATGTTATGCATATTAATTTGTTGACAATTTTGTGTATTATCGTATATTTTATTACAAGTATATGCATTTTCTTCAAAATATCTATAATATTCAAAAGATTCTATATTTGATTGGAAATTTATGCATTTTTGACAAATTCTATCCAAATGTTTATGATATCATTAACCTTAAGTAAATATCAATAATTTTCATTAATTATTAACTCTAAATTATTTTTATGAGCATCCACTAATAATTATTCTTCTAATTATCATTAATGATAAGTAAATAAACAATTAATGATAATTATTTGAGTAATAATTTGCATAGATAAGAAACAAATCACGTTCAAAGAAGCTTCAAAGAAAAGAACCAAAGCCGAAATAAACAGGAAGAACAAAACTCTTCACTTAATACTTAAGAAAAAAATCTACAAAACACCCCTAGTTTCGCCCTAGCTACTCTAGACTTTTTTGCACCCTTATGCCTCATACAAGGAAATTTCCTAATATAACAAAACACTCTTTGTTATAATCCTACTAAATCTCTTCGAAAAAAGAATTATAATTGAATATAAAATTAGAAATCTCACTGTAACGCTAACTTGGTAAATACAAACTAAGATAGGAATTGGAGCTAACTTGGTAAAAAAAAAAAAACTAAAATAAAAATTGGAACTTACTTGGTAAACATGAACTAAGATAGAAATTCCACGATGATGTTATTTCATTAAATATTTATTAAGTTGGGTTGGTGGCATCATGTTTGCTTCTTACATGTCTTATAGTGATTTCCAACTCTCGTAGAACTTATTAGCCTCCTTTTGTACTGCATCAATAATTTTATTAATGTTTGGGAAGCTTCCACCTTTGTTATGGTAGTGAATTGAAAGGTAGGGTGATGTGTCTATAGGTTAAGAGCCCGATGATGTGGCAAAATGAGGAGCCTAGCCTGGGTAGTGTGAAGGCAAACCTATATTGAACTAGATTTCTTGTGTTTATTTTTTATTATTTTAAAATTAAATTTAAATTCAGTATAATATAAGTGTAATTAATTTTAACAATTATTATTGTTAAAATAAAAAATTAGTAACTTATTTTGAATTTTCCATTATGTTAATCATTTTAAAATTGAAATTAAATTTTATCACTTWATAATTATAAATTTATTATAATTAATTATTAAATTTTATAATAACAACATGGAAATATTATTGATGAATTATAATAATATTTTTAATTAATAACTATATTTTATTACTTATTTTTTCTTATTTTCTTATTTATTTTTTCTCTTTTTTGTATTTTAGATATTTTTTACTCATCTTATTTCAATGTTTAAGTTTTTTAAGTTAAACTATTTTGAAAAAAAATGACTTAAACATTAATATTTTAATACATTGATGAAAAACTAAATGTATGTATTTAGAAGGTAGAGAAAGATAGAGATAGGAATATATAGAGAGACATATATAGGGGATGGGAAAAAGGTTTTACAATGGGATGCTTTGTTGTGAGATAGATTAGGAAATGTTTTAGGAGGGGGAGGTAGCTTAGGAGAAATTTTAGGAGAGGAGATTATTTAAGTTATCAAGAATGTCTGCGGAAGAGAAAGTCCCTCATTGGTTGTTCAAAAAATGACATTGAATAAAAAACTAAAAATCCAAAAAATATGAAAATTCCTAGACTTTCTTCTTTTAGTATATATATATATATATATATATATATATATATCGAGATCAAGAGAGAGATGGGAGATGGGAGATGGGCTACCACCATTGTGTAGCCCTATGAAACAAAAAAAAAAAAGTAGAGAAGGGTAATTGCTAATATAGAATAAAAATCTATACTTTATCAACAAACAAAAAAAAGTAAGATTCTATTTCACTAATTATTATAATTCTTAATTTTTTAAATATCAAATAAAAAATATTTTTTACATATAATTTTTTTTTTACAAAACATTTTTCTCAAGTCGAGCTCGAGCTTATGAGATTTTGACTCAAGCTCGAGGCTCGTACTACCTTGGCGAACCAAGCTCAAATAGCTCTCGGCTTGAATCCACCCCTAAAATGGGTCACGTAAACCCCACTTACCATCCTGATATCCTCTCAAAAGCATTGGAGGTCAATCTATGCCAAATGAATCAGACTAATTAGAAAGGGGAATTGAATGTATGTCAAATTTTGCACTGCTAGTATGATTTTGTAACCACCGTCTACTACCGTTCGCACTTATCCAACCTTTGGGATATGACAAATGGGTCATATAAACCACACTTATCATCCCGATATCTTTTCGGAAGCATTAGAGGTGAATCAATGATAGAGGAATCAGATTAAGTGGAACAGAGAATTAGATGTACATCAAAATTTTGCACGACTAATATGATTTTGTGGGCATCATCCGCCAATGTCCGTGCATATCCCCTCGTGAGGTTGTGACAAAAGATTCACGTAAACCCTGCATACCATCTCGATATACTCTTGGAAGCATTGGAGGTGTAGCAATGGTAGAAGGATCTGGTTAAGTGGATAGGGGAATTGGGTATATTATGTTGCACCATTGATCTAATTTTATGAGCATTTTTCGCCACCATCCACACGTATCCCACCATGGGGTTGTAATGGTCATGTAAATCCCACCTACCATCCCGACATTTTCTCAGAAGCATTGGAGGTGAATTCATGTTAGATGAATTATATTAAATGGAAAGAGGAACTGGATGTATGTCGAGTTTTGCATCACTAGTTTGATACCATCCGTTGTCGTCCACAATTATCTTACTAGTTTGATACCATCTTGATATCATATTAGAAGCACTAGAGGTGAATCCATGGTAGAACTAGATTAAGTTAAAAGGGGAACTAGATATATATCCAAAATTTGCACCGCTAATATGATTTTAAGAGTGTCGTGTGCATTATCCAATTGTGGGATTGTGACAAACAAGTCACATAAATACCACTTACCATCTGGATATTCTTTGGGAAGCATTGAAGGTGAATCCATAGTAGAGGAATTTGATTAAGTGGAAAAGGAATTAGATGTACGCCAAAATTTGCACTACTAATTTAATTTTGTATGCATTGTCTGCCGCCATCCGTGTATTCCGCTATGAGGTTGCATTGCTAGTTTGATTTTGCACTGCTAGATGCATGTAAAGTTTTATACGGGAATCTGATTATGTAAAACAAAGATATATTAAGAATATACAATGGGCGAACACCACTTGGTTGAATAACCAAATTCATTTCATTGATGACTAAATGCACAATCCACGCCAAATTTCAAATACTTCGATTCCAAGTTACAACAGCTCATACTTATATGCTTGTTGTCCATTTAGGCCCGATGCAGAAGACACATCAAAGGAAGGAAGGGATATTTCTCTGCTTTCGTCAGTTTGTGCTGGTGAAGAGGGTCAAAGGCGCTACATTGTAGGTTTTCTAGCAAAGACGTTCAGGTTGTTGGACGGAGGTGAAAAACGAAGGTGGGAGTGAATGGGGGAAGAGGAAAGGGAAATTAACGCTCGTTTGTGAAATGGTCATTTTGTGTATTTCAGAATATGGGTGAGGTGGCATTTCAAAATATGGATGACATGACATTTCTATATGTAGTGGAATGGGGATATTTCAAGTCTTGTACACTACTTTCGACGATAAATATTTATTTTTATGGGTGCCTAATGCGTAAATTTGCCTGGATTCTGTAATGGATCGTTGTCTACAACGAGGTTTCAGTACTATGATGGACAAAAGAACAAACAAGATGTTCCATGTGCGTTGGCTTTATCTGAAAGGCTAGGTTGCTGTGTTATATATAGCTTCTTCTGATTCAAATATTTACTCTTTTAAGCTATTCCTAACATTTAATATTGGTGTAAAACCATGCTGCCAATGTTTACGATGATTACTTTAGATAGGTTGTTAGAACCTGGGGCTCAAAAATTTGTTCCCAAAACCTCTTAATTCAAAGCTGCAGAGCCCAAAGCCATCCATAGAAAGACAATTCATCCGCAAACATGTAGTTGGGTTTGTGGATTTCGTAGAGTAAGCACAATTTAAGGAAGTAGATGATGAATAGAATGATAATTTTGACATTTTCAAAAATTTATAATCACACAAGATGCCACAGGATATACGGCTGGTTAATGGTTAATACCAAATTGACACATTTGGAAGTTTAACTACTGGATTTAGCATGTATTGAAGTTTGGGGACCAAAGTTTGATTAATCCCAAAATAGAGGGTATTAATCTGCAATTTTCTTTTTTTTTTCGAGAGCATATAGATTGTATCGTAACGGGTAACAAGTGGATGAATCCATAAAATCAAAATGAGAGGGGGTAAAGATAGTATAATTTGGAATTCTTTATTTTAAGGGCCTATCTCTTTTGCATTTAAAAATAGCGTGTTCCATACAGTATTTTCAGAGATAAGTCTGAATGCCAAATGCAAACTAACAAGACCAATACAGTAAATGTTTATGAGAGGTCATTGTCGAATAAACGTGGACGACTCTGGATCCCCTGCCCACCTCTACCCTAAACAATTGGGGTAAACGTGGGCAGAGTTTGTGTGGGCAGGAAATCCGGACTCGAACTTGTTATCCGCCTCCCAATTTCAGCGATTTACAATTTGCTTTCTTATTAATAGTTACTACAGTCGCATTTGGGAGGGTTGTTGCGATTGTTGGTAGCAGATCAACAGCCAACAGATCCGGTGTAGTTTATAACAGAGTTCGAATCTGCTTCCACGGCGCTCAGCCGACATGTCAAACTCCGGCAACAGTGGTGGTAATGGCAATAGTGTACACGTACTGGTCTTCCCTTTCCCAGCGCAGGGTCACATGTTGCCGCTGCTCGATCTCACCCACCAACTTGCCCTCCACAGCAGCTTAGCCATCACCATACTCGTAACGCCCAAAAACAAAACCCTACTAACACCTCTTCTCTCTAAACACCCTTCCATCCAGACCCTCATCTTGCCTTTCCCCAATCACCCCTCAATACCCCTTGGTGTGGAGAATGTCAAGGACCTTTCAGCCCAAGCTTTCGTTCCTATGATTTGCGCTTTGGGCCAACTTTATGACCCTCTTCTTCGCTGGTTTCAGTCTCATCCCTCACCCCCTGCTGCCATCATTTCCGATTTCTTTCTGGGCTGGACCAACCACCTCGCCTGCCATATCGGCATCCCTCGTATCGTCTTTTCTCCTTCCGGCCTGGCGACTTTGTCACTCTCGAATTCCATGTGGCGAGACCTTCCCAAGATAGACGATCCCAACGACCCCAATTTCCCCATTTCCTTTCCCAAAGTTCCCAACTCTCCCACATTTCTCTGGTGGCAGGTCTCCACTGTCTATCGCAGGTATGTTGAGGGACACCCAGATTCGGAATTCATAAGAGATAACTTTCTTGCCAATATTGCCAGTTGGGGAATAGTTTTCAACTCCTTCTTCGAGTTAGAGAGCGTGTACTTTACTCACATGAGGAAGGATTTAGGACACCACCGGGTTTGGGCTGTAGGGCCTCTGCTTCCTCCAGGTGATGATCCAACAACCGAGAGGGGTGGGTCCAGCTCCGTGGCTGCCGGCGACGTGATCTCTTGGTTGGACAGGTGTAGAGATAATTCGGTGGTCTATATTTGCTTTGGAAGTCAGGCGGTGTTGACAAACAAGCAGATGGAGGCGGTGGCGGCCGGTCTTGAGCAAAGTGGGTCTGAGTTCGTTTGGTGTATCAAGGAGGCTACCACGATGCAGGCGGCGGGAGAATATGGGGTTATTCCGTCAGGGTTTGAAGAACGTGTGGGAGGGAGGGGACTTGTGATAAGAGGTTGGGCTCCTCAGGTGTTGATACTGAGGCACCGGGCCGTCGGCGCATTCTTGACTCACTGTGGGTGGAACTCGGTGCTGGAGGCACTCGTCGCGGGTGTGCCGATGCTTGCCTGGCCGATGGGAGCAGACCAATTTATAAATGCAAGGCTGTTGGTGGAGGAAATTGGGGTGGCCGTGAAGGTCTGCGAGGGTCCTGAGACGGTTCCAAATCCGACAGAGTTGGCTAAATCCATTAACGAATCGGTGGGCGAAGAACGGGCCGAGAGGGTGCAAGCGAGAGCGACGGAGCTGCGTAAGGCAGCGCTAGAAGCAACCAAGGGAGGTGGAACTTCATCCAACGACTTGGAAGGATTGGTGAATTATTTATGTGCACTTCAATTTTAACACGATTAGAATATTCTATAATAGACTGCTGGATTCCATTGAGTGTGGTAGACGACAGAGAACAGGACGTGTGAATTTAAGTTTTTTATTGTTTTCCGAGAGATTGTAAATGGTGAATGAGTACTCATTTTGGACAACTAGAATTTAGCACTTTGTTCTGGGTCAACTGGTTACCTACTCGCCTACTCCTACGGGAATTATACAACGGCCATTTTTGACGCCAGTATTGCAATACAACGTGGGGTTGGTGATTATTAGTTGGGATCTGCTGTTTATAAGGAGTAGATCCAAACTCGGTGATTAGTACATTCGGACCACATATTTAGAGTTATTAGGGTATTATCGTTATTGTTTTTATCGTGTGCGAACAACAACTCGATTAAGGACCAACGGCACCACATCAATGCTATCGTAGGAAAAAAATGGTGTTTTAGGAAACTGCTATATGTTTGGAATCATTTTTTTCATAAAAAAAATGGTGTTTTATGTCACGCCTTGAAAGTCGGAAAAACATGACTTAGAGTTAACACCAAATTAAGCATTTTTTAGAGTTACAATGACAACAGGGTAATGATATGACATTGGATAATGGGTAGAAGTGCAGAAAATGTTTTTTGAAGCATTAGTACCAAACAAAAAAATTGTTATTGCTCTCAGAAACGTCCTACTTGACAGCAATGATTCCAAACAAAAAAAAAGACAGAAAACAGTACTTCTAACCCACACATCAGCAGCACCGTTTTCTCATAAAACAGTGCTGCAACTACAACATCAATGCCAAACAAATACATAATCAACCCAAAACCCAAAACCTTAGGGGCAGAAACAACAATCATTCCAAACACAACCTAAATACAAATTATTAATGGATTGAACGTGATCGGTGAAATAAAGAACTGGCCCGCTCAGTTGCTCGTTGTAACTCTTGTTCTCTCTAGCTCTAAAGCTCTTCAGCTTGCTTGGCTACAACTAGCGTTGGAATGCTCCTCCTCTTTCACAGTTTCACCTACTGATTTAGGCATTGGAACGCTCCTCTTAGGGAATCACCTCAAGGCCTCTAATTGTTGTGCTTGCATGTCATTAAATCCACATCATAGTCCAACTCATCAAGACATTATTTGTTACTCGTCCACTTCACTTTGGACACCATTATTACCCTACTTCTAGGGGGTGTTCATGATTCGGTTAATCGAATTATGGCATTTTTTTGTAAATCGAACCGGTGGTACCGTTTTTTCCAATTCTCTAAACCAAAACTGAACTGGTACCACCGTTTAATCGGTCTACCGGTTTTGGTTTTTGCTCGTTTCAGTTCTTTGATTTTTTTGTTTTCTATATTTATAATATATATTATACAAATATATGTATAATATTATATAATAAATAATAAATGACATATAATATATTATAAATATTTGAAAAATATATAATATATTTATAAATAGATCATTATAAATATAATATAAGTATATATTTATATATAATACATAAAAAATATGTGACATATTAAAAATAGATATAAAAATATATATACCAGTCGGTTTGGTTAACCGTTGGGTTTTTTGTAGGTTAACCGAAAACCGAACTGATCCTTCGATTTTTCAAAAAACTCGATCCGAAACCAAACCGATGGATTTGATTCAGTTTTTCGGGTTTTTATAGACACCCCTACCTACTTCTTCTAAGAAATTTCTGAAACCTCCCTTGAACTTTTTAATATTGATGCAGCTACTCCTCCTTCACTACCTTGAGCTGATGGAAGCATGAATACCAAAATACCCCCAACTTTGATCATTTGAATGATAAGTTGGCTTTTAAATTTGTCCTTCCCTATTACACTCTCCATAAAATTCATAAAATTTATGTTTTTTTCTATAATTTTTGTTTAGTTTGCTAAACATATTTGAATCTTTTTATGAATTTATGATTTTTTTTTACATTTTTTACTTTTTATTGAAGTATGTATTTTGTTATATTTTTTTATCTTTTTCTTTGTTTTTGCAAATTTTGCAAAAATTTTATCATTTTATGTATTTTTTGCAATTCTAATTTTCTATTTGATTGATCCGATGCATCAATGACCACGAAACTCTGTAGAATATTTATTTTTTTTTTTTTCAAACACCCTAACACGTCTGAAGAGAACATTGTACCATCGTTTCGACTGAAGAGAAAACTATCGCTGCTATCTACTGTTCTCCAGTTCGTTGATGCCAATAAGACGGCTATCAACCCTAAGACCCTCTATATTTCCGTTTTCTTTTGGTAAGCTAGTTCATATTGACATTTTTTTTTTTTATATTTTTGCATATCCATTACTTCTTCCTGCAAGTCTCCCCTGTTCATAAACCATCTATTGTCTTCTTCCTGCCATTGACCCTAAGACGGATCTACTTGTTCTCCCGTCTATTGGACCATTAGATACCAAATCATCCATAACGCCCTTCAAAACAGCAAAAGACGAGGAAACGTTTATCTTTGTGAAATTAGAAAGTGATTTGGGCTATTTCGTAAAACACCAACATAAAGCCCAAACCAAACAACAATAAAAGAAAAAGTTTAGAATAGCATTTATCATAAAGGTTTTTTGTTTAGTGACGGTGCTATTAATATAAAGCATAAAGTTGGGTATGAACGATGTCAGTCAGAACTCAGAACTCAGAACTCAGGAGGTATAAGGGGGAGGTTCAGCAATTTACCCTAGCTAGTTTCTTCTGCTTTTCACAAGAGAATCACTTTCTGATCAAGGAAATCAATCTGAAGATATGTCGAACGCCGGCGTCGGCGTCGGCCGCGGCCGTACCCACATATTGGTATTCCCTTACCCTGCGCAGGGGCACTTGATACCTCTTCTCGATCTCACCGACCAGCTTGTCCGTCGGGATTTAACCGTCACCATATTGGTTACCCCAAAAAACGTCCCCATTTTGAACTCTCTTCTGTCCAGACATCCTTCTACTTCCATCCAAACTCTGGTCTTACCTTTCCCGTCTCATCCGTCTTTACCCCTTGGCGTAGAGAACATGAAGGACGCCCCAGAGGGCTCCTTCCGTCCTATGATGCTCACCTTGAATAAACTTTATCATCCTATCCTCCACTGGTTCCACTCTCATCCTTCACCCCCTGTTGCCATCATCTCCGATTTCTTTCTGGGGTGGACTCACCATCTAGCCTGTCAGCTCGGCATCCCTCGCATCGTCTTCTATACTTCCGGGGCTGTCAACTTATCAGTGACCAATTTCCTGTGGCGTGACCTACCCAAGAGAGATGACCCCAACGATCCCAATTTCCCCTTTTCATTCCCCAAAGTTCCAAACTCCCCGATATACCCCTGGTGGCAGCTTACCCCCATCTATCGCAGCTATGTTCAGGGCGACCCAGATTCAGAATTCATAAGAGATGGCTTTCTAGCCAACTTGGCCAGTTGGGGAATCGTTTTCAATTCGTTCAACGAGTTAGAGGGCGTCTACTTGAATCACATCAGAGAGGAGTTAGGCCACCATCGGATTTGGGCGGTGGGGCCTCTGCTCCCTCCCGATGACGATCCATCGAGCGAAAGGGGTGGATCCAACTCCGTTGGAGCCGGCGACGTGATGAGTTGGCTGGATAAATGTGAGGATCATACCGTGGTTTACGTGTGCTTTGGGAGTCAAGTGGTGTTGAGTAATGAGCAGATGGAGGCACTGGCCGCTGCGCTGGAGATAAGCAGGTGTCGGTTCGTGTGGTGTGTGAAGGAGGCAAGCGGCGGCAGCACGGCGTCCACGGGGGGAGCTTCCGGTGTTGTTCCGTCAGGGTTTGAGGAGCGTGTGGGAGGGAGGGGGTTGGTGATAAGGGGGTGGGCGCCACAGGTGTTGATACTGAGGCATCGGGCTGTAGGAGCGTTCTTGACTCACTGCGGGTGGAACTCGGTGCTTGAGGCACTGGTTGCGGGTGTGCCGATGCTTGCGTGGCCCATGGGCGCCGATCAATTTATTAACGCAAGGCTACTGGTGGAGGAAAAGGGGATGGCTGTGAAGCTCTGCGAGGGTAGGCAGGTCACCCCAAATTCTACGGAGTTGGCTAAAACCATTGCCGAGTCAGTGGGTGATCAGGCCAAGAGTATGCGAGTGAGAGCAATGGAGACTCGTCAGGCAGCGCTACATGCAATCAAGCAAGGGGGTACTTCGTTCAAGGATTTAGACGAATTGGTAAATGAATTGAATGGATTAAAATTTAATATAAAATCGAGAGCCAAGTGACAAGTTGAATTTTTACTGTTGTATTAGTCCGACGATTAGAATTTTATGCAAAATAATATTATGTTGTATCCCATACATTACATTACATATATGGCTTTGTCCCAGGCCTTGGGTCCTCCTGCTTGAGAGTTGAGACTAGGCCGGGTTGGGTTTAAACCCACCGAACCAAGTTAGCCCGTTGTAACAAATAAACCCCCCCAAACATAAGAAAGTAAGATATCCATATGCATTTCTCATCAACCAATTAAGGGGTGTTTGTAATGCTGTTAGCAGTTGACCGGTTATTAATTCAATTGTCTGACATCAGGATTTTCTGTTACATTGATAATGGAGACATAACGAAAGGGGTGTACTTGCAACGTTATAATAATGGTTTTAGACTACTGACCTGCCACTGGTCCGACGTTATAATAAGGGCTTTAGCCACTACAGTTATCTATTATTTATTTCAACAAATATTATATGCTCCAATAAGGTTGATAATAACAGGCAATTACCTCGTAAATTATAAATTAGAAAATTTTTACACCCCTATGCACTATGTGTTAGCAACTTTGAGCTGCAAATTGGTTTGAATGTGGTGTTTTTAAGTCATTGGTTCAAGTTTTTATTGATTTTAAAAATATTAATTGAAGTGATCATGATATATAATATTAAATGCATTATTGATTTATTTTGTTAACAATATATTATATTTTGATGATTTTTATTTCATTTATTATTTGAATCCCACATTTAGAATAACTAAGAAGCTTTTATGGAAGTGATATTTTTTTCCTGTTCTTATGCAATACGTATGTAATTGACCATAATACATAATACATTGATCTACTTCGTTGATTGCTCTTAGTTTTTGTATTTGAAGTGGGAATTCAATTTCTCGTTACTGGTGTAATGTAAGTTATGGCAATGCTCCTAGAATAGTAGCCCTACACACCTCCACTCCAAGACTTTCCATGACGAATCAAACATCTCATGGAAGAACTCTGCTCCAATCTCCTCCGTTGTAGCTCTGAATGAAGCTTCAATTGCATTCCCCTGAATTGCTCCAAGATGCAGCTTGTTACATACCCCAACAATCAAAACCTTAGTTGGGTTCTTGGGTTAAGCAGAGCAGATCAAAAGCTTCACTTTTGCACCTTTCTCCTATAGAGCATCTATCAAGAAATAACAGAATTTGGTCAAGGTTTGTGGATATCCCAACAGCTTTGTGTCGTCAGTAGCATCTTCAAGCTTCAACTACCTGAATTTTCTGCAACTCAATATGGAACCACTATTCACTATGGCAGCACTTCCTTGTCTTAGGATGGCTCTCTATATCATAATCACATCCTACATATTCATTCTTAGCTTATTAGAGTATATCCAACTGTTATATTCCTGTATATCTAGGACTCCATCCACAGGATAACAATTATCCTTCGGAGTTAAGATAATTGTTATCCTACTGAGATGACAACTGGTTTTATGTTGTCTCTTGAATGTTATCTAGAACTCTATCTATTTTGTACAGTTCCTCCATTATAAATACAATGCAAGGCCAATGGCCAATTCACTGCGCCCAAATATTTCTTGGTCTTTCTTTACTTTGAGTTAGTATTAGAGCCTTGCCGATCCCATGGCTTCCAACAACTTCAGTTCTGCCTCCCAGCAATCGTCAGGTGCGTTAGCCCCTAGGAATGTGGTAGGTTCAAATTCGGTTCCCCACAGTGGGATCCATTATCTCCCTATCAAGCTCACCAACGACAACTACTTGCTTTGGAAGGCACAGCTGCTGCCGGTTCTCTACATCAATTGTTTAATGGGGTCGTAGATGGTTTTATTGTTGCACCTCCTCAGTATATACCAGATCTAACAAACGGAGGTCAGATGATTCTCAATTCAGAAAACGTCGAATGGTTTGAGAATGATCAACTAGTTATGTCCTGGATCATTGCGTCGCTCACGGAGAACGTGTTTGCCCAAGTTGTAGGACATCGATCATCCTGTGGTGTATGGAACGCTCTAGCCAATTCTTTTGCAAACTATTCACGATCCAGGCTGATGCAATACATAAGGCAGCTTCAAAGTCTCAAAAAGGGAGGTATGCCTATTTCCGAATATGTCAGTAAAGCTAAATCCATAGCAGATAGTCTTGCAGTTGTAGTTGAACCAGTAAAAATGAGTGATTTAATTATGTATATATTAGTCGGATTAGGGTCCGAATATGAGTCTGTTGTTATTACCATTACTAACAGGTCCGACATAGAGGACCTCGATATTGATGATACTTTAGGCATTCTTCTTGGCCATGAAGGCTGGTTAGAACAGAATACTACCATGGTTGGTTCACCCCCTACGGCCAATATGGCCAATTTTAAAAATAAAAATCAGAATAATAATCAATACTCTTCTTCTGGGAATACCCGCAGGACAGGCAGGGGGCATGGTTCTTCAGATAACCGCCCAAAAAATGGTGGCAGAGGGTGTGGTAATACAATTGTTTGTCAACTATGCAATAAGCTCGGGCATGGTGTGATTAAATGTCGCCAGCGGTATGATCTCAATTACAAGAATGAAAAAGCAAAACTGGCAGCCTACAACAATAATATTGCTCCTCCGTCTCAGTTTTCCTTCGATCCAACCTGGTACCCGGATAGTGGCGCAACACATCACATGACGCCAGATGTCAACAATCTGCAAACTCGGTTTGAATATGGTGGGTCAGATCAAGTCAAAGTCGGTAACAGTTTAGGCTTGGAAGTTAAGAATGTTGGTTCTTCAATTTTACATATTGCTACTCGCCATTTTTCTTTAAATAATATTTTTCAATTTTACATATTGCTCGAGATAACAAATTGTTCTTTGAGTTTCATGGTGATTATTTTCTTGTGAAGGATTATACGGGGAACATCATGCTGCGATGAACCAGTAGAGATGGGTTGCATCGGTTTCCGAGCGAGGTGAATCATACAAGTCAACCTTCTGCATTGATCAGTGAGATTGCTTCTGTTGATGATTGGCACAAACGTCTTGGGCATCCAACAATGCGAGTAGTCAAGCAAGTTGTCACCCAGTTCGGTCTTCCTTATGAATGTCATTTTAGTATCAGCTCTAATTTATCTTGTGAGTCCTATCAAGTCAGTAAGAGTCATAGGTTACCTCTCCCCTCATCCTCTTTAGTTGTTTCTCGTCCTCTAGATTTAATTTTTTCAGATGTATGGGGACCAGCCCCAATTTTATCAAATGCAAGGTTTCGATACTATGTAATTTTCGTTGATGCTTTTAGTAGATTTTCATGGTTATTTCCATTGCACTGGAAATTAGATGTGTTTGATGCCTTTTTTATCTTTTAAGCGTCATGTTGAAAATTTATTTGAGACCAAAATCAAGGCTCTACAATCGGACTGCGGTGGAGAATATCACAAACTATCTTCTTACTTGGACTCTATTGGCATTACTCATTGACTCGCTTACCCTCATACACATGAATAGAACGGTTGTGCTGAACGGAAACATCGTCATGTCACTAAAGCAACCCTGTCTCTTCTGGCTTCCTTGTTGCTCCCCTTCTCCTTCTGGGCAGATGCTTCCCTTACAACAATTTATCTGATTAACCAGCTTCCCACTGCCACTCTGAAGCACAAATCCCCATATGAGGTTCTCTTTGGCTCTCCTCCAGATTACAGGTTCCTCAAAATTTTTGGACGTGCTTGTTATCCTCGGCTTCGGTCGTACAATCGCCACAAGTTTGATTTTTGTTCCCAACAATGCAATTTTCTTGGCTACAACAACAAAAATAAGGGGTATCACTATTTACACCTTGCGACTGGTAAGGAGTACATCTCCAGACATGTTCTCTTCGATGAGCAGAAGTTCCCAGGGTATTTTGTGATTGCTCCCACTGAATCCATCTCCCCTACTGGGGTATATCTACAACCGCCGCTGTCACCTCCAGCTCCTTCTCCGGAATCATAAGTTTCTGACTCACTGCTATAGAGAGATTCAGATCCACCATCTCATCAGTTTCCAACTCACTACCCATCCCATACAGGATATTCTTGTTGCATCAGTCCCTGTTGCTTCTCAGCCTTCTAGTCAGCACCCAATGGTGACTCATTCGATGGATGGGTCTCTCCCACCTCGTTCTCAGCTCAAAACCAGGTATCCTTTACCACAATCTTTGTAAGTTCATTCTGGTGATGACACTTCAGAACCCTCCAGGTATTCACAAGCAGTTAAATCTACTCATTGGCATGATGCCATGACTAAAGAGTTTAATGCATTGGTTTCTAATGGTACTTGGAGTCTTGTTCCCTATTCCTCTGACATGAATGTGGTTGGGAGCAAGTGGGTCTATAAAATCAAACGGAAGGCAGATGGTATCATTGACAGGTACAAGGTGCATTTGGTAGCACAGGGTTTTACTCAGATTCCTGGGGTTGATTTTACAACTACTTTCAGCCCGGTTGTCAAACCCGTAACCATTCGTACCATTCTCTCTCTTGCTGTAATGTATCGATGGTGTATACATCAGATTGACTTTGATAATGCTTTCTTCAATGGGGTACTTCGTGAGGATATCTACATTAGACAGCCTAAGGGTTTTGAAGATCCTACCAAACCAGCCCAGGTGTGCAAGCTGCACAAAGCTCTTTACAGCTTCTTTAGGCTCTGCGAGCTTGGTATGCCCATCTCACTCATCAGTTGGCACAGATGGGTTTTTGAACATCTATAGCTGACACTTCTCTGTTTGTGTTTTGCTCTAAACATGTTACTCTGTATCTCCTTATCTATGTGGATGATGTCTTATTGATTGGGAACTCCCAAAGTCCTATTCATAACTGCATTCAAGAGCTCTCTCGGCATTTCTCTCTTAAGGATCTGGGCCTTGCTGCTTTCTTTCTTGGGATTTAGCTTCTTTGGCATTCTAATGGGGTTCTTCTTAGTCAACGTCAGTCTATTACTGATCTGCTACATCGTTCTCACGTGGGTGCTGCTAAACCGATTTCCTCTCCTATGGTTGTTCATCCCAAGCTTACTCGTCATGATGACTCCCCTCTTCCTGATCCTACTAATGTTCATTGGGTAGCTGTGAAACGCATCTTGCGTTATCTCAAGGACACCATAATGCATGGTCTATACATCTCTCGGACGTCGTCTGCCTCTCTTACACTTCATGTGTTTTCAGATGCTGACTGAGCAGGCTGTCCGGATGACTGACGATCCACCGGCGGATTTGCTATTTATTTAGGGCCTAATCTTATTGCCTGGAGCTCCCGCAAACAGGCCACAGTAGCACGCTCCAGCACCGAGTTCGATTTTCGTGCTTGTGCTACATCTACTACTGAAGTGTTGTGGATTTCCTCTCTTCTTCGAGATCTTGGCATCACTCTCTCTGAAACACCTACTATTTGGTGTGATAACATCAGTGCCACTTACCTTGCTGCCAACCTTGTGTTTCGTGCTCGGACTCGGCATGTTGAGGTTGATTTTCACTTTCTCTGGGATCTTGTGCTTGCAAAACGGCTTACTGTGTGGTTCATCTCTTCCAAAGATCAGGTTGTTGACACTCTCACCAAGCCCCTTGCCGGTGATCAGTTTCACTTCTTACGGGACAAACTCCATGTTCATGATGAGCATGGAGTTTGAGGGGGCGTCATAGAGTATATCCAGTTGTTACACTCCTGTATATCTAGGACTCCATCCATAGGATAACAATTATCCTTCCTACTGAGATGAGAACTGGTTTTGTGTTATCTCTTGAATGTTATCTAGGAAGATAGAATCCTCTCTTTGTACAGTTCCTCCATTATAAATACAATGCAAGGCCAATGGTCAATTCACTCCGCCCAAATATTTCTTGGTCTTTCTTTACTTTGAGTTAGCTTGTCAAGATTACTCAAGGACAAAGCATCATAGGCTACACCAAACTGTTTAGAAGCATAGGAGCCATTAGATTTCCAAGGTTCGAATGCTGTTTTGAAATAAAGCTTCTGTTTCGTGCAGGATTCTCCTGTCTTCAACTATATAAACATCTTTTCATTAAACCAATTAAGTTTGTACACATTACTCACACATTCAACTACCTGCATTTTGCATCCATTCCATTTGTATTTACTTCACCGCGTATTAGTTCTAAGAAGGAACCAAGTTTATTGAGAAGGTAAAAACGAAAAAGTACTTCTGGATTTATGCAAATACATCAATCTAGAAGCTGCATCTGCATAGCCTATTCACTTCTAACCATGACATAACAAGCAATTTTCTCATTACAACGGATACCAAATGACCGCACAGTAGCTTTAGAGAAAACTGGAGTTTCACCATTGAGTTGCTCCAAATCCTTAGCTGCTCTAGTAAGGCAATCAGTACTCTCACCGACAGAAATGTTAAGAACAAGTTTTTACACCTTAATCTCTTGATCGGATTGAACAGCTTCTTTTTCGATGCCATCTTGCTTACTCTGGCCCTCTCCCCTGCGGGTGGTAGCATATCGTATCATCTGGTGTTGTGCTTTGTCAGATCTGATAAACACAGTTGGTGAGCATCAAGAATAAGAGAGGTGCACCGTTGCTGCAACTCCTCTATTCTCGTCGTAGAAGACGCTGAACAGAGGCCCTATGGCGGAGGAAGATGGAAGGGAAGAGGGGAGAAAGTAACAGATGGAGGCAGTGAGAGGACCGAGAGAAATCAAAAGAAGGGGTTCTTATCACCTATCGCTCTGCTCTTCGTCTCAAAGTTGAGGACTATGAAAAATTCACAAGAAAGGTATTTTAGAAATTTAAAAAAAAAATATTAATCACGTAATATCACATATAAAGGGAGTGCGACAGAAAGTTAAAAGATAGGGAAGATTTTCAACAATTATTGAAAAGATAGAAATACTTTAAAGATAAGAATACTTTAAGATAAATATATAAATAACTCAATTAGCTAAACGATAAGGATAATTTAAAAAATTTACCCTTAATTTTTCGATAAACAAAGCGCTGCATCCCACGGTTCCCGACTAATACGATTATTAACCAATCCGTTTGTCAGGTATTACTAATTTACATTTACAACTCGAGATTGTCAACGTGAACGAAGCTAGCACATGCGCGGCCTGGCCTGCGTATTAAATAGAGAATCAAACAGCAATTATGCATAAGCACACTAGCTACTTGGTACAGTCAAAGCGGCTCATGTCGATGTTTTGAATTCAAATTCTTTACGTGGCAGTGTTTTCATCCCCTACTTTCATGGAGGAACCAAAGTGTGACTTGTCTTCCTGTTTCACCATGAGATAAGAGGTCAATGTCAATCCACCCTGGAGGTCAGAAGGCTCAGGCTTCCCTCCCATGAAAAATCAAACCCAAAAAAAAAAAAAAAAAAAAAAAATTCAAAATTTGATCGATTGGAGCGAGTAATAATTCTCAAGATCAGCCCTCAACCATACATGCCAAGGCGGTGAACATTAATTCCTCCTGTCAGAACCCCTTTATATATCAAGGCGGGGAACAGAACCTCTGATCTGGAGGTGTTTTTTCTTTCTTTTTTTTTTGTCCCTGAAAAAGGAGAAACCTGAATACAGTCTGAAAGATAAATATGTTAGACTCCGCTGGTTGTGGTGGTGCTCACATACTGATCTTCCCTTACCCTGCGCAGGGACACATGTTACCGCTACTAGATTTTACGCATCAACTCGCAGCTCGGGGCTTAACCATCACCATACTGGTGACACCCAAGAACGTCCCCATACTAAGCCCTCTTCTTTCTAAATACCCTTCCATCCAAACCCTGGTCTTACCTCTTCCGCCTCATCCCTCTATACCCGCTGGCGTCGAGAACGTCAAGGACCTTCCATTCACCTCCTTCACTGCTCTGTACTGCGCTTTGGGGAAGCTTTACGATCCTATTCTCCACTGGTTCCGGTCTCAACCCTCACCCCCCGTCGCAATCATCTCCGATTTCTTTTTAGGGTGGACCCACCACCTTGCCTGCCAGCTCGGTATCCCTCGCATCGTCTTCTCTCCTTCCTCCGCTGCGGCCATCTCGCTGATGCATTTGCTCTGGCGCGACCTTCCTACGAGAGAAAATCCCAACGATCCTAATTTTCCCATAACGTTCTCAAAAGCTCCGAATTCCCCGACCTATCCCTGGTGGCAGCTCAGTCCTATCTTCCGCAGCTATGTTCAGGGAGAGCCGGAGATGGATTTTATAAGGGATTCTATTCTCGCCAACTTAGCGAGTTGGGGAATAGTTTTCAACTCGTTTAAAGATTTAGATGGCGTGTATCTGATGAACTACGTGAGGGAGGAGTTGGGACCCCACCGCGTTTGGGCGGTGGGGCCCCTGCTCCCTCCTGATGACAATCCATCGATCGAGAGGGGTGGATCCAACTCGGTTGCAGCCGGCGACGTGATGAGTTGGCTGGATAGATTTGAGGATCATACCGTGGTTTACGTGTGCTTTGGGAGTCAAGTCGTGTTGAGTAATGAGCAGATGGAGGCACTGGCCGCTGCGCTGGAGGTAAGCGGGTGTCGGTTCGTGTGGTGTGTGAAGGAGGCCAGCGGCGGCAGCACGGCGTTCACGGGAGGAGCTTCCGGTGTTGTTCCGTCAGGGTTTGAGGAGCGTGTGGGGGGAAGGGGGTTGGTGATTAGGGGGTGGGCGCCACAGGTGTTGATACTGAGGCATCGGGCTGTAGGCGCGTTCTTGACTCACTGCGGGTGGAACTCGGTGCTTGAGGCACTGGTTGCGGGTGTGCCGATGCTTGCGTGGCCCATGGGCGCCGATCAATTTATTAACGCAAGGCTACTGGTGGAGGAAAAGGGGATGGCTGTGAAGCTCTGCGAGGGTAGGCAGGTCACCCCAAATTCTACGGAGTTGGCTAAAGCCATTGCCGAGTCAGTGGGTGCTCATGGGCCCAAGACCAAGAGTGTGAGAGTGAGAGCAATGGAGACTCGTCAGGCAGCGCTACATGCAATCAATCCAGGGGGTACTTCGTTCAAGGATTTGGACCAGTTGGTAAATGATTTAAATGGGTTAAAATTGAGGGCAAAGTGACAATCAAGAAAAAATCGTGATCGTGGGCCGGGCCGGCCATATTTTCAGGGTCTCCATGTGAAACTTTCAGTTTACAACAATGTTGTTCGGTATTTGGAATCGGAAGCTTTTAAATGGTTACCGCTCACACTTATTTATTATGTTTCCTTTCATGTTAAGCTTGTATTTTACACTTTTTTTAGTTTTTTTTTTCACTCATAATAATAAGGGGTTAAATATTTAAATGCCCATTTACTTTTTGGTAAATTATTTATTGGGTAAACACACTTACCTAGGTAAGAGTTTTTTAAGAAAGACTTATTCGGATAAGTGCATTTGTTCATATTCTTTTATTTCTCCATATAAATAAGATAATAACAATCTTAATCATAAATATTTCATTATTAAAAGGGGCATTTTTATCTTATTTAGTATTGACAAATTTTCCTTAAATGAAAAAGTTAATTTAATTATCTAACAGATGAATATATAAATTTCATTGATTCTCATATAAATTTAAAAATTAAATATAGATTTTTTAATCAATTAGAATCAAAGTTACATTGATTAACTTTTTTCCTCTCAAAATCAAAAAAAAAAACCCAAGAAAGTATCTTAATGCTTAATAAAAAGCCCCCAAAAAGCATCTCTATGGTTAGTAAGGGACAAAAGACAAAACACCTATTGAGAGGCTTGTGCTCAAATCAGTCACAGTTTCACAAAAGACAAAAGAAGACAGGGATTGCGGTGTCAGTTTGAAGAGATTCTTGTACATAAGGAAGGAGAAGCCCTATTAGAATCTCTACCATCACACCCTTTGTTTATTTTAGGAGGTGATTTGACAAAAGAAAACATCGGTTGGGTTGTCGATTTGAACACACTTTTGTAAACAGAAACGCTTCGGGATATGGGTAGTTTCACTGAGTGAGAGAGTTAGAGACAAAGTTTTATTAAAATAATCTCACAAAACTATGCAGGTGCCCAAACAATGATGCAGCGCTTTTTTTCATTAAAATAATCTTACAAGAATTCTCTTCTGTTAGGTCGGGTTTTGGGCTTTTTATTAGGGCCGGGCTTGGGCCTAACAAAATCTTGTTTATGAAGAGTAAAAATCCGGCCCGGTCGGCCCATGAACCTGTCTAATGATAGGTATTAGTTGACATATTTTAAAAGTTCAGATGCTAAATTATGGCATTTTAAAGTTTAGAGACCAAAATAACACTATGCCCAAAGTATAAGATACTAATTGGGAATTTTTCCCATATTTTACTCTTTAATCGTTGATAAAGAAATCGAAAGAGCTAAATTAGTCTTTTTCTTATACACATTTCTTAGGGTAATTTATTGATTATTTTTTTTTTCTTTGTTTTGTTTCTCTAGGATTTGTGATTCTGGACTAATGTAGATGTGCTGTTTTTAGGCTGAAGGTAGTATGAACGCTGAAGCTTTGAAGAGGTTCGTTGAAAGAGAAGGAAAAATGTGTGGTGTTGAAGGTGGGAGAAGGAATGCTCATTGTATGGTCGTAATAGGGAGGCGTTGATGGAGTTGGACAACAAAGCTAATGAAAGGGCCAAGGAGGCTGAAATAAACGTCCTTGAAATGGAGGATTAATTGAGGAGAGTTGCAACGGAGTTACAATTATACAAACAAAATTAAATACGTTCTCCCGAGCTGATTGGAGAAAATCTTTAGAGGTTGAGGATACACTAGATTAATTCTAGTTTCTAGATACTAGCTAGAGAGATGGCAAGTGATTTTTAATCCGTAAGATCGACCACAGAAAAGATTATAAGTTATGTAACAACATTACATAACGTTACATGCGAATAGATTGTAATGGTAATATTAACAAGATAAGATGATATCCCCAAATTAAATGGTACAGCCAAAATGGGCATTTTCCTACCTACAAGTTTTGACCATTTTGACCAAATAAGATACTCTGTTGCAAGTAGTGCCACAACTTACTCTGATGACGATGATGTTAGGAATGGCAACATGACGGGTGGGGGGGACCATATTTTCCGAATTTGAAACAAACTCCCCTTCCTGATCCTATGTTACGCCTTTGCTTCATGAATATATCTCACAGTTGATAAAAGAATCATGCATAAATCAATCCTGCTTCTGTGACCATGCGTTGATCAAGAAACATTTTGATACATATCAAAGATGCCTGGGTAACAGATAGTAGAGTAGGAGCACAATACTTCCCATCTTTCACAGAAGTAACTAATTTCATTAAAACAAGGGTTACTAAAGGCATGTCAATTTACAGTTTTTCTACTATTTCCTTCCTACCCTACCCTATATGATGGATGTTTGGCTTCAAAAATTGGATCAAAAGGGAGGGCCTTCTCTCTTCCTAATTCCTTTAATTTTGGGGGAGGGGGGACAAAATTGTACTTAAACCTAAGCTACCAGCTATGGTTTCAAAGGCACATTGTTGTTGATTGGCGGCTTTCGACGAGGGCTTGCTCTGTAATCCTTATGCAGCAAATTCACCATCTCGTTAGTGGCCTCAAGAAGTTGTTGGTTTTCACTCTTCTCAAACGGATTATGGAATTCTAGAATGCCTAATAATCTTCTAGACCTTGATGAACATTTCAAGCTGTCACAAGTTGAAATAGCATCAGAGCCTTGGGGCCTCATGAATTGGCTGCAGGTAGCAGAGTATGGGAGCTTAATTGGTCCACTCCCTTGAATTTCCTTGCTGTCAGAATTCAATGCCTTTGGCTTTGGCTTTGGCATGCTTCTGTCATTCTGGAAATTTGAGATGAGAAAGCCATCCAGTGTCAGTTTGTGGGACAATGAACAATGGAACAATATAATATATATATATATATACGAAAAACTGTCTCAAATCCTTTAGAGAGAGAGAGAGAGGACCTTATCACTCATCTTCCTTGGCAGCAGTGTTCCAATGGACTTCTTTGAATAAACATTCTCATCTCCTCCTGCATCCAACCAAATCAAATATTCAAATTGAAACTCCTCCTCCCCCCCAAAACTTAATTATATCATACAACTCGATCGGTTGGATGAGTGTCTAAACAACCCCTCAGGCTACAAAATCAAAACTCAGTCATCTTATTTATGTCCAACGCAATTTTCGAAACAAAAGGAGATGGTATCCATTAAATTTAAAACATATATAGGAACTTTGGGCCACTTGGTATAATAAATTCTTTAAACATCAAAGTCTTATTACGTAAATACAACTATACAAGTATGAAGATGTTTTCCACTTGTTTTTCCCTAGAACATAGGTAGATACAAATTAAAGAAAGAAAGGCAAAACTGGAGCTACTTTAATTTGATGCGCTTCACTGCTATATGTTTCTCAGTTATTCTTAGGTGGGTGGGATTTGGGGAAACGATAATCAGCACTAAAAGCTATAAAATCAACTACTTTGACGTTGACACTTAGGAGACTTCTATCCTTCAATTTACATTCTACATTCAACAACTCTCCCTCCCCTTCATAGTCATCAAATTTTCCATGAGAACAGGCTGCACCTGAAATCTTTGGACTCTTTCCCTCTGAAGATTCCTTTCCCATCATCAGGACACTACCGGCTGCAACTTTTCTTCCTCCAAGCCTATTGCTTCTTGCGTTAGTCTCAGCAGGCACCCCATCAAAAAGTTCCTGTTAATATGTTTGATTTAGGGGGCAAAAACACTCTTAATGGGTAACAAAATGGTATAAGAAAACAACAATATTAATGGAATAAAAATTAAGCTACCCTGTCAACAGACACTTTACTCAATTCACTCTCTGCAAGCCCGTTTGCACCGACGACCACCTCTGTCCTCATAGCTACAAATTAAGGAAAGGCCAAGAGTTAGTCGCACCTTGATCATGTACAGAAATTAAAACTCAGTTTTCTACTGAAATCAATTAAGAAAGTCGTATGTATACCTACCTTGGTGGTTTTGTGCAACAGAGACCCTTTGGGCAAGAACAGTGAGGAGAAGCCCTACTACTGAGCGTGTAAACATTGTAAGCGCCATCCTTCTCTTCCTTGGTATGTTTGTTTAATTTCTTGTCAACAACAAAAGAGAAGAAAGAAGGAAGACAGAAGCTGGCTTTATAGAGAGGCCAAAGTCCAATCCCAAGTCAAAGCTAGCTAGGGTTGGAATATCTCTTTTATCTATCTTTTTCTTTCAAATAAAAAATAAAAAAGTTTCTCACTTTCTCCTGTCTACATATGTAGAAAACAACAGCGTTCAAAGCTTGAAAAGTTGAACGTGGTTTTCTGGGTTGGCTTCAGAGTTTGAGAAGGGAGGCGTAAGATAGCGTGGAATGGAAGATACGGGTGTTTTGCGCTTGTCTGCTGCCATGCATGCAGGAGGAGAGTGATTTACCACTCATTAAAACCTAGGGTTTCTATATTGGTGATTGAAGACTCTAGTCCCCAAATTTGGCGTTTTGTATAATTAGTATCATGAGCTGCGGAAAGCAAGTTTCAAGAGCAATGCCAGAACACAACTTTGTCTCCGGCACACATTCATATGGTAGTGCAGGCTACCTAACTCAGCTAATCTTAGCTTAACTTGTTCTAAGTAAGTATGAAGCTAAAATAACGATTTCGAACCAAGTCTAACTCATAAGGGGTTGTTTGAATTAACTCGGCTTCTTCCTTGACTACATTAAGTGCCTCTGTTCTCTGTTTAAAAGGGAATAATAAAAAAAGAACACAAGTTAAATTATGGTTTCAGTACATTGTTGAGATTAACATCACATCACATTAGCTTCTAATATCTAGAGAAGTCGAAAATTATATTGAGCTCAACTATGGACTCATTTCTTAATTTATATGGCATATTTAACTTGATTAGTAAATGAGGTTTCTCATTGAATGTTGATTAGAAAATATGGTCAAGTGTCGTCTTTTCTCAGTTTAGATGCAAGGGAGACTGAGTCAGAGATTCGACATACAGCTCAAATATGACAACAAAATAAAGAATGTGAAAAAACCAGCTACTCATCATCCCTTGGATACTCTTCAAACATGGTTCACAACTGCAGAATCTTTTTATTTTAAAATGAGTAAACAAGAGAGCTCAACACTCCACCCCCTCCCCCTTTCAAGAGACTGGTCCTCTTTCTAAGGACATCAAAGGTATATATAGGTGAACACCCATCATGTCCTTTCAAGCTTCTCACTAAAATATCTTGCAATATTTGTCATTTGTCTTTGGTAGTTTTATCAAGTCCTGATCAATCTCTCTTTGTTCTTTAATCCTTTTGGTAATAATCAGTCAACCTCTTGAAACACTGCTTGCATTTTCGACATTGAAAAGAACTCAAACAAATTTGCAGGTATTGTTTGGATAGAGTATATATATGAGATAGCTCCCCAAAAGAGTATAGGAGATAATCAACCTCTTTAATCTTTCCCTCACATTTCTATTTCTCTTTTATTTTCTAAACCAAACACAGCTTTATTGACTAAAGTGGAAAGATAAGCTCCCACTTAATCGAAAAAAGGAGCCTAGGTATTGTTTGGAAAGAGTATAGGAGAAAGCTCCCCAAAAGCATGAGTTCAGAAATATCCTACTTCCCAGTTCCCATCCCGAAGAACAAATTAACTTAGTAGATTAATGAGCCTATTATTTTATTGGTAATTTATAGCCGGTGAGTAGTCCCCAAGAAGGCATGAGCATCAAATTAAGAGTTGGAAGGAACATGGGCAAGTGGTTACTGCATAGAATTGCTAACCCATCATCATTAACAATAAATACACAGTAAAGAAAGGCTATATTTATGGGCGTGCCTTCCTGTGAAAAACATTAATTTCTATCTGAATAGAAAATTGTGCCATGTGGCAAGCAAAAGTAGGCAGCTAGTCACATGCATCATGTGCCACATGTTTTGCCACGTGTTACAACGTGTTATGTGGAGATTTGATCCACGTCTTGGAATGAGCAAACCACCGATTGTTGCCGTGTATTACGTGTCACAAACTGGTTGTAACATGTTGCCTCCACCCTGTAATGTTAAAGAGATCTATTCTCGGAACTCGGAATAGAGAGACAGTCCTGCAAATATTGGATTCGATTCCAATTGGATAAATCCTAAATCCAAATTAGTATTCAAATTTTCAAATGGGAAAAGAGCTAGATAGGATCATAGAACTTAAATATTATTTGTCATTAAAAAATTAAATCAACGATGATCAGAAAAAAAATATATTATTAATGAAAAGAGCTAGAAATGAATTTATTATTGTAAATTGTGAACTAAATAATTTTTAAAAGTAATTTATAAGAGATTCTGAACGCATGACTCTTGACTAAACAAAACATTCAAACCAACTTTACTGACATTAGTATATTAATTTTATGTATCAATGTATGTAAATGAGATCCTATCAGATAATACAAAGGTGCATATCTCTATTTCATCCGATCATAAAACAGATTAATTAAATCTGAGCACCTTAATTGAATCGAATTAGAATTGGAAGACAGTCAAACGGATAATAGAGATCTGGACTCACACATTGCATTTCACAGGTTCATGTAACGTTTTCTTATTGGGCCGGGTTGTTCAATTGGTGGAACATGGCTTTGTGCTTCGGTGATTTGGATGGCTTTGGTGGGTGGCGTTCCCAAAACCCAAGATATATAGCAAACAATAGGAGGATGGGGTTGAATATAGCTAGCTTGAGCTTGATCAGTTTGGAGTTTGGACTAGTGTAGATTAATCCATGTGACTAATGGAAAGCTTCCTTCCTTAATTGTGTATGGCTGACTGGCCTGCCACTCTAACCCCATCTCGACTTTAGGGCCGGGTTGGGCCAGGCCAGACATAGAGAATCCTTTGTGTACCTGCTCGGTCAACTTGGCATTTTCTAGGCTCTGATTGAATTGCAGGTTAAGTTGGATTTACTGGTTATTATTTATCCCAACATTATATACATAGCTTAAGGGTTACAGAGTTTTACAGGTCACATTGGATCAAGTTGCAGGCTCAGAAAGCAAAGGCAGCGCTTTGGGGTTCTTGTGAGAGCCAGTAAATCCGAAGGCCGTTCTTGGACCAAAATCTCACGCCTCTATCTCTCAGTTTTTAATTGAATTTGAATTTGATCCATTTTTTATTGGATCAAAGATGGATCCATCCACCCCCTAGTCATTGTACCTGTCTTCATTTACGAAATTGCATATAAATGCCTAAACAGGCTTTTTAAAAGTCATAAGGAGATTGCCACGTGGAATGTTCCTAAGTTGTTTATTAGACTTCCTATACCACTAAGACATGTTTGGAGGTGCTTTTTGTCCTAAACAGGCTTTTTAAAAGTCATTTTTTGAAATGGGCTTCTTTCGAAAAAGCACGTTTTTAGCATTTGACTGGCCATTATTTATTTATTTATTTATTATTTGTTCAAAGTGCTTATTGCAAACATGAGAAGCTAAATGGATATTTTTTCTACATTTTCAATTGGGCTTTTCTGATGAAAATGACCATTATTTCAAGCTTTTTCACTGAACAAGTACCAAAAAAATAAGGTTTTTTTCACTGAATGATCTTCTCGCTAGCTTTTGAATTCTCCAACGTAAATTTATAGCACAAAAAACCCCATAAGAGAAAGGCTCCTAGACATGGCCAAAATTATACAAATGGCTTTGTTTACCCAATGACCCTATTTAGACAGTGAGATGTTATAAGACCAGCGTGCTTTAGACTCCGGTGCCATTTGATAAGTTTCTTTAGAAAGATTTTTCAGCAGCTTACATGTATAAATAAAAGACGTATTGAGCTTTTATAGTCTTTTCTTTAAAAATAAGGAAAATTTTCTGATTAGTACGCTATATTTTTGGTCTAGTGCCATTTTGGTCTCTAAATTTTAAAGCGCGACAATCTAATACTTCAACTTTTAAAATGTGCCAATTTAGTACCTATCATTAGCAGTTCTTCAATTATCTATATCACATGATGAAATGTAAAACTTTCAAAATGTCAAAACTACCCTTAAAAAAGATTGTTCATCGGCCTCTACCTTGAGACTGAAATAGTGCTCCATGACCTAAATCAGATCTTGAAGAGTGTCTGCTTGAGAGAGAGAGAGATGAAGAGTGCTTGTGACCAATCAGTTTCCGCAAGCCCACCTCTTGTTGCCCAATCATCTACATTCCATAGGCTGTCGTACACCCTCATGGGTTGCTTGTTGGGGAAGCAATGCCAAAGATAGAACTGTTGAGGAAGAAGATGATGAACAGTGTTTTAATTTTGAGAAGGCATTTGGATGGTTGATAAAGAAAATTAGATGACACTCGAAGGGCATTTGTGTCTTTTCACGTGCCACTTAATAGCTGGTTAACAACAAGTACTAGGTTGGCATGTTTTGAAAATTAGAATACTGAATTGTGTCACGTTTTAAAGTTCAGGGACCAAAGTGGCACTAGGCCCAAAGTACAAGGTACTAATCCAGAATTTTCCCTAAAAATACAGGCCGTTTAGTAAACAATTTGGTTTATTGGGCTTTTAAAAACACATTTAAAGATTATTTATTGCATAAAAAGACTATGAAGCTTCATTTGAGACTTCCCAAATTTTAGCATTTAAAGTATTTGAAATGACACAAATACTTTTGTAGTTTCTTTGTCAACTATCCAAACATTGATAAAAAAACAGTCCCAAATCCTTGCATATTCTATTCATGAAAGTTGGGATCAGCAGAATGCCCACTGAGATTGACCCCAAACTTTTTTGAATAAAAGAGGCAAGGATTTGGGACTATTCATTTTTTGTCAACGTTTGGATGATTGATAAAGATGATTATATAACACTCAAAGGACATTTGTGTCTTTTCAAATACTACTTATTGACTGATTAACGGCAGGTATTGGATTGACACATTTTGAAAGTTTGAATACTAAATTATCACATTTTAAAGTTTAGGGACCAAAGTGGCACTAAGCCCACATTACAAAATACTAATCGACAATTTTCCCATTAAACTATTATATAGGATGAGGTAGATAACAGCTTGAACTTAAGTTTTGATAATTATTATTATTTTTTCATAATGAAATAAAAAATAGTGAAGGCTGAAGGTTGATTTAGTTCTTAAAAATGGTTAATCAGCTTCTATTAATATATTAAATTACGGGTTTCTGTTAGGTTTTAACCATTGAAACTTCCAAGCCAATCGTGTCAGTAAATGGAGAAACATAAAGAAATACAGCATTTTGCTGATAACCGAGAAACTTTCAATGTCCATTGAAATAGAAGCTATTCTGCGTCGATGCTCAGTGCTCTTATACAATTTGTCTTACAAACATAAAATTAAATAATACAGCTGATCAGTAAACGGTGGGGAATAATGTGCCCATCAAATGGGGTCTTACAACGGCCGAAGGGGCAATAAACTTACTAATTAAGTGAAAATATCATGTCTAATGAATCAATATACTCTATGCCAAATTTTAAAGGTGTCTTTTGGTTCACACAGGAATAGGGCTTTGGAATTGAAATTAGAATGGATCCTTTTAATTTTAACTGTTTGGTTGGACAAAATTGAAACTTCATTTTCATTCTTGGGGGAATGACATTCTTCCATTCGAGGGAATAGCCATTCTCTGCCCCTCGGGAATGAGAATTCATTTTAGCTTATTCCAATTCCAATCTTAATTTATGTTTGAATCAAACAAGCAGAAGGAATAGATCATTCTAATTCTAATTCAAATGAATTTTGATTCCATTTCCAATTCCAATTTTGAATGCAAATGGACCCTAAGAATAGGAAAGCCATTAAGTTGCACATGAAAATAAGTAAATGTGTATACGTGTGCATTCCTAAAAAAAAAATGAGCCAATAATATGGGACTTTATTAAGAAGGCAGAAAATTTGTACCATGATTTATTTGTGTGGCTCTCTCCAATTACACCTTCATTTCATCGGTCATCTATGAAGAGGAAAGAGAGGAGGTGATGGGTCCTCTCACCACAAAGCTTATGAATTCAAATCAGCCCCCCACAACGTCCCACAGCACATTCCCATCGTGTATTGAGAACATCTCTCGATGATAATACCAGGAATGATGATGCCATCGTCAGGAGATGTTCCCAATACACAGTGGAGATGTACTGTGGGATGTTGTGGGGGGCTGATTTGGTCTCCAAAGCTCACATGGACCTCCTTTTCTTCTCATTTTCTTGTACATGTAGTTATTTTTTTATAGGGAAAATTCCCGATTAATACCCAGTACTTTGGGCCTAATGCCACTTGGGTCCCCCAAACTTTAAAATGCGATAATTTTGTACCCAAACTTTTAAAACGTGACAATCCAATACTTGCCGTTAACTAGTTGTTAACCAGCTGTTAAGTGGCATTTGAAAAGACACAAATGCCCTTCAAGTGTAATTTAATTTTCTCTATCAACCATCTAAATGCTGACAAAAAATTAACAGTCTCAAATCCTTGCCTTTTCCATTCAAGAAAGTTGGGGCCACGTTTGAGTGCATTCCGGTGACCCCAATTGTCTTGAATAAAAAAGGCAAAGATTTGAGACTGTTAATTTTTTGTCTATGGTTGGATGGTTGATAAAGAAAATTAGATGGCACTCAAAGGGCATTTGTGTCTTTTTAAAATGCCGCTTAACGGCTGGTTAACAGCTAGTTAATAGTAGATATTGGATTTTCATGTTTTGAAAGTTCAGGGCGCATTTTAAAGTTCAGAACCAAAGTAGCACTAGGCCCAAAATACAAGGTACTAATCAGGAATTTTCCCTTATTTTAAAATTAAATTATCAAAAATATAAGAAGTTAGAATAAAAAAGACTTCTTGGATCTTAATTAATTATCTATGATAAAACCCACCGTATCACTCTTAACCCTTTTTGACCACAGCTTGAACCCAAACTGATGCCATAACCTTGTCAAGAGGAAAGAGGGAAAGTGAAGGGTCCCATCACCTTAGAGCTCACAAGTGCCCCTACTCCTCTCATTTTTGGCACATGAAGTTACCTATTTTTAACTTAACTTATTAAAAATACAAGAAGTCAAAATAAAAATAAACCTAGGTTTTGACCCCAGCTTGAACCCAAACTGATGCCACTTAATGGCTTGTTGGTGACTGTTTAGAATAATCTAGAATTTGGGACTGTTCATTTTACTGTCAATGTTTGGATGGTTGATAAAGAGAATTAGATGGCATTCTTAGGGCATTTTTGACTTTTCAAATGTCACTTAACGGCTGATTAACGGACTGGTTAACAGCAGATACTGGATTGCCACGTTTTGAAAGTTCAAATACTAGATTATTACATTTTAAAAGTTCGGATACTGATGGATTGTCACACTTTAAAATTTAGGTACCAAATTATCACATTTTACAACCATGAAAACACCCATAGCTAAAACCAGTATTGTTATTCTCGACTCAGCTCTGAACGCAATTATATCTGATTTGGATGTTAGAAATTAAAACCATTAATAATTGAATTGAATGCATATCTAACCTCATCCAATCTGATGAATAAAAATAAAAAATTCCTAAAACTTTTTAATTTCTTTCTGTCATTTTAAACTCGATCAATAAGATGAATCCAATTACAATTACAACCTAGGGAATGTTTGTTGGTTAATATTTTATCGGTTAATCAAACGGTATTTCATTCTCACAATTAACCAAGACTCGGAAACGTCACTGGGTCACCGAATCATTTGTTCAATATCTAGTCTGGTCAGTCTGATTACCTAAAACTAAATCATCTTTTATCTAAGCCTTAGCCTTATATGGGTTTGGCTACAAGAATCCTGTCTATGAGATATAAATTATTAATTACCAAAAAAATAAGATATAAATGAAACCATCAAGGTCGAGGTTTAATGCAAGGCAAAAAAGTGCAGTAGTGACATCCTTAGCCTGTTTCCCTATATATGCACACAACAGTTTTGTTGGCCGAGAGAGAGGTGTTAGGAATGATTAATTAGTTTTGGGCCGCATGCATTGATTCATCATCCCCTAGCTCTATACTAATTACTCCCAGTCAATATTCTGGGTAACGGCTTCATGAATTCATGTATGAACACCAAGTATACATTTTTCTGCAGGCCAAAATAATTACAAGTCAGAATGATATGGAAAAACTAATTTAGGAGAGTAAAAACGTGAAAGCCTACATTAATTTCTGTAGCTGCAACTGGGAAGGTAATTACGAGGCATTATAAGCTAGCAAGAAGCTGAATGTCTAGTATTCCAATCTCCAAAGAAGCACTTGCAATTGATCACATCGCAAGATAGCTATTAGCTTAGCTCTGGAGAAAGCTTCACAGCTACTGCTGCGTTGTGTAGTATTATTGCTTATGCTATTACATCCTGCTGGGTTGTTTCTTGTTGTCATTGCCAGAGCCCAGCAAGACAGTGCTCACGCACCAGCTATCTTTGGCGATTCCTTGGTGGATGTTGGAAATAACAACTATATTCCCTCCACAGCGCTAGCAAACTACACGCCTTATGGGATTGATTTTGGTTTTCCTACCGGTCGCTTCTGCAATGGCTTCACTGTCGTCGATTATGGCGGTATATCTCTATATATATACATATGCTTCATCCCTTAATTTATACTCTCTTGTATGCATGAATTACCACACTTTTATTGAGCTCATTTCACTTTACCTCAGCCACTCTACTCTTATAAACTAAGGCCCCATTTGATTCACGGGAATAGCTAGGGGTTTGGAATCAGAATCGGGATGAGCTATCCCGATTCCAATTGTTTGGTTGAGCAGAATCAAAATCTCATCCCCATTCCTGCTGCAATGGTGTTCCCCTCGGCCCTCCCCATTTGAGAGAATGGCCATTTCCAGCCCCTCCCTTGGAATGAAATTCCATTCCTCTCTGAACCAATTAAAGGATTTTGATTCTAATTCCAACTGTGAACTAAATGGACCCTAAGATATTATTGTTTGGCATTGATGCATTTTTCTGCACTTGAATTTGCATTCCTCATCTGCCACAAAACAAACAAGATAGTGTACAATGGGCTTCAAAATCCAATCAGAGAAATAAACACGTTAGCAGTCAATACTGTTAATATAATGATCCCAAAGAGCATCTATTTAGTTTGTATCTAGTTGGTTCTAATGGTGACTGGTGAGTCTGGATCTCCTTATACCATGAACACTTTGACCAATGGAAAATCCATCAAACCCAGTCGAATTTTGATGAATTTTAGTGTACGTAGGAGATATCTGGAGTACTTCGTACGTAGTGGCATGACACAATTTATACACACCATGAAGTCATGAACCATGTCAATTAACCAGATTGGTTCATTCTCTGATTTATATATATTCATCATGCATGGTCTCATACTCTCATTACTTCTGCACTCTGAATTGAAGCACGCTTACTGGGGCTACCACTCATACCACCATGTTTGAGTCCAACGTCGAAAGGAGCAAATATTACCAAAGGACTAAACTATGCATCTAAAGCTGCTGGCATCCTCGATGAAACTGGCAAGAATTATGTAATTCTCGTCACCCTTGTATTCAATACTTGATTTGGATATATCTTATCTTGTATTAGATCTGAGATACAGTTTATTTCTCGTTTTCCTTTGGAGATGAAAAGATATATATATATATATAGCTAGCTAGCCTAGCCTGTGTCCTTCTTCTGGAGAATCAAATGAACCATTCTGGTATTAAAGGATCCATTAATTGATATTAATATCAAGAGAGCTAATATATCTCTGATAAGCTTTCATTCCTTGGTTCAAGGATCAGTTCTTGCTTCTTTAATTTCTCCCATATCTGTTACGTTTGTAGGGGGCAAGAATATCGATGAATGAACAGATACGGTTGTTCGAGAACACTGTGAAGGAGGACTTACCACCTCTGTTCGAAAGCCCCAAGGCCCTCCATAGTTATCTAGAAAAATCCATCGGAAGCAATGACTACATCAATAATTATCTTATGCCCCATATCTATACAAGTAGCAGGATCTACAATGCTGAAGCATCTGCTGATCACCTCATTCGGAATTTTTCTCAACAATTAATTGTAAGTCCCTAATTAAAATGTCTTTCTAGCAAATTTGTTTCATGAAATGAATTCAAAACTGAACAAGAAAACTTAAATTTGGTCCGAGTGAAGGGAATCAGCCAGCTGGTTACATTACAGCCCCAACGTTTGGGGCTTTAGTACCCGTTTGGGAGGGCTTTACACAGCAGATTCTGGCTTTGCAGTGTGGATTCCACACGGAAAGCTTGGAAGTTATGTTTGGTGAAAAAACCCATTAAACCTCGACATGATTTCATTCTACTAAGAATTAAGAAAATGATTTTTCAATAAAGCTAATTTTAGTAACTTCTTCAAAACTACTCGGTGATAGCAGCTAGGAATGGCAATTTTCCCCTATTTCCCCGATCCCCATGGGGATCTGCCCTGAATGGGGCAGGGATGGGGATGAATTTCCCCCCATGGGAGCGGGGATGGGTAAATTTTCATCCCCATTAGCGGGGACGAGGAGAGCACTCCCCGCCCCGTGGGATCCCCAATAATATATATATATGTAATCATACATTTATATATTAGTATTTTTAAAAATATGGTTGAATATGTTTGAATCTTTTCTAATTAGATCGTAAATTTTAATTATTTTATTTTTATGTTTTTAAATAAAATAATAAAACAAAAACAAAATGGTTAACATTATAAAAATCATAGGGAATGGGATCCTCGTGGGGATGGAGATGAGAATAACCTTGTCCCCGTTAGCAGGGACGGGGATGGAGAGAGGCTCCCCGTCCCCGCCCTGCCCCGCCCCATTGCCATTCCTAATAGCAGCTCCATAAAAATGAAGCCCTTACAAACGTAGGGGTGATCGCCAAAAACCAAAAAATCTAAAAATTAAACCCAACTGAAAAATCCTGTTAATCAAACCAAACCATGCAACTGGTACATATGTATTTGTATTATCTTATATTATTATTTTTTGCCCCAAAATTTACTTCAGATGGAGGGGTGGCCCCCTTAGAATTTATAATTGAAATTCAATTGAAATAAAACAGGGGAGGACGTAACCCACCTTGCCCCATATTATATATTTATATATTTAAAGCATATTATATATGTTATATATATATTAAATACAAATACATATACATTATATATAATACATGATATATTATTTATAATATAATATATTGCATATATTTCTAGTAGTTATATTATATAATTGTATATTTATTTATAACATATATCATATATCCAAAAAACAAAAAACCAAAGAACCAAATGGTCAAAAACTGAACTGATCAATAAGTTAACCGATTGATTTTAGTTCCGTTTCAATTTTGAAAAACCAGTAATACCAATTCGGTTCGAAAAAAGTACCATACGTAAGCATTCTTACGCAAACAGCCCCTTAGTTACAATTATTAAAACCCGAAATAGAAGACCGGTTTAACAAGATTTCACAGCAAGTTCAAAAAGAGAAACACGGGCACAACGCAAAAGCAGTAAGCTTTAGGGGAGGTCTGCTGGCCGGGAGCGCCAGGTGGGTTGAAGAACTCTACCCATACCTACCTACAATACAATACAGCCGTGGGTTAGAGATATCTCCGCATGAATGATAAGATATCCTTAATGCACCTGTGAGTAGATCTCGTTGCCTATCATACATGGCCCCAGTTGATAAGTTTAGATTTCCTATCTACAACAACTCTACTTACATTTATCCACGTAACATTGCAGTTACATATAGAAAATATCTCATCCTCTTATATGTTATTATGCGCAGCGAGATGTTTCCAATACACAAGAGTAGTGTTTTGTGCATAGGCATAGGTAAAATTCTTATGAATAGAAAATGTGAACATCCAAATGAAACGGATTGTGATTGAGAAATTAGAGAACTATCGAGAATAATGTGCTATACCGTTTGTCATAACCTTGAGCGTGAATCACATGACCTCAATATATTGCTGTAGGCATTAAGGCGGTGTTTGGAACCGCGTAAATCTTGTGGAAGGGACCGTCAGTCCCGTCCACACCCTAATATAGCGTTGATAGGTCCCTTCTACACCCCAATTTCTCATCCACGGTAAAATCTTGTGGTTAGGGACCATCCACACTTGATTTTTGATCCCCTACTTCACACTTTTCCTGAAAGTGTACCATTGTTTCACATTTTAATATTTTTGTCAATAAAATATTAATTATTTTACTTAATTTTTAATTTTTTTTAATTTTAATGTCTTATCAATAAAATATATTTTCTAAATTTTTAATTATTTTACTATTGTTTTTATAAAAAAAATAATATTTATTGGTTAATGTTAATTCATTGATGCATTTTTCAATATATTTATCATATAAAATGCAAAAATTATATATTTATGATTAACTGTGTAGATCAAGGTTTTCAAATCTCCGTTGACTCGGATGGTCGGGCCGTTCAACTCGGGAACCGTCCAGGCAAGTGGTTCCGTTTTACCCCAAACCCGGTTTTTGGCCAAAAACCGTTGAAAAAGTCAACAACCCGTTGACTTGAGCGATCAAACTGTCAACCCGTTCAACTGTTTTTTACTTTTAATTATTTTTTTATTTTTTTTAATTTATTTGTCTGAACGGGCCATCCAATCAAATTGGACAGTCGGACCGTTGACCCGGAAACCAATGGCCAGAACGGTTCCATTTCCGGGTTGTTTTTTAAAATGTTGGTGTAAATCATTCATAAATGTATATGAGATATATAGAATCAAAAAGTATGGTGTCCACACCACACCTACAGAACACCACTGTGGGTGTGGACTGGTCCAATCCATACAATTTATCCACAGTTCAGAACAGTTGTGGACTGTGGTGTGGTGTGGATTGGACCCTGCCATAGGGTGTGGTTTCTCATCCACATTACAGGCACCCCCTAAATCAATTCATTTTGATTGTATATGTGGAAGTACTACCACCCCAACTGTACTTTGGGCCTAAAAATTCTGACCCTAGGCTAACGGAGCTATAAACATTCAAAATAACAAAAACCCCCACTTTATACACCAATGTCCGCACGTGAATTGGCATCAATTCCAAACTGGCACCCACTCCAACTGTACTTTGGGCCTAAAAATTCTGACCCTAGGCTGAACCGTCATTCTCCCTTAACATTATTGATGTCTATTGCAATTAACATTAGGTTGTGTTTGGTTTCAAGGGAAAAGTAGGAAAAGAAAAGAAAAAGTAAGAAATCCTTTACAAACTTTGTATAGATTTTCCTATCTTTTCATTCTTTTCCCTACCTTTTCCTTCAAACCAAACATAACCTTAAATGAAATGTCATAAACGGCTGCACTCCTTGCGACCCACTAAAACATTGAATGCCAGCTGAGTGGTGGCTTGATTGACAAGTAAACTGGGTTGGTTCCGGTGAGATGCCGTTACAAGTCTCATTATTGGTTCTTAATATCTTTGAAAAGAATTATTAATATTCTAGAAAATTGTACCATACCAAGGAAATTTGAAATAAGGTCCCAAGGGCAAAAGAGAGCAATTTAATATCAAAAAATAAAATAAAACATTGAATTGGGAGAATTTGGATCTCCTACAAACAAAACACTTTCCAACTCCCCCACTATAATGTAACACTGCAATCTCATACATGGCAGATACCACTTATCAGTCTTATCATGAGATGTGTGGTGTCGGATCATATTGAATAGGGTGTTGGAACTGTTTTAGTGACAGGAGATCTACTTATAATTGGTATTTCTTATTAAAAAACAAAACTGTCCCAACATTATTTCAACAGTGGTCTGTCCGTATATCTTGGACCCGTTATAAATGAGATGTTCTAAGGTGTTGGAACGGTCTTTTGTTGGGAGTAGCGCTGTTCATAACAATGCCTAACCCGACTAAACCGATCAACTCGGACCGATCCAACCTAAGTCGGCCGGGTTTTTATTAGTACCGGTCGGTTTCGGGTTAGGCAAATATATAAATTGATATATCGGGTCGGTTTGTTTTCTTGTGTGAAAACCGAAACCAACCCGACCCGAACCGAACTAGTCTTCTACTAGTTTCCTACTTAACCATAACTACTCTTCTACTAGAACTAAAAGGCCCATTAAGCAATCTATCATAGTTTCTAACTTTCTATAATCTTTCATACCAAATAGGCAACCCTTTAGGCAGTTACAATTAGAATTCAATTAGGTGTCATTTTGTACAGGAACAAAACCGAAACCGATTCAAACCGACCAGGTCGGTTTGGCCTATCAATAGATCGATTTCGGTTTCCACCTCAGGTAACCCGACCAAGTTGGGTCGGTTGGGAAAACCCCAATAACCCGACCCATGAACACCCCTAGTTGGGAGGAAATCGGGTTTCTCAAACAATGTCATGTCATTGATGCAAATTAAAAAGCAATTAACGTGATGTTTCAAATTTATTTTCTATTGCTAGCCTGTTAGCGTTTCATTATGGTTGCAAGGGAGTGCTGCGACAGACAGTGACAGGAGATGATCCTCCCGTTATAAATCTCTTGCACTTGCATTAAAAAAAATGTTTGTCATTTTTGTTTTGCCATAAGTCTCAATTTTGCAAAGAGTACAAATACAAATATAAATATGTACATACAAAATACAAGGTTTTGCACTCTTGTATTTGTATTCTTTCCAAATTTAGCCTTAGGGGTTTCCTCGTGTATAATTTTACGGGTGTTTTCTCTTGTCCTTATATTTGTGCCATACATATTTGTATTTGCACTCTTCTTAAACTGAGCCTTGGGCTAGGTTTGAAAGTGATGTAAAACGTTATCAATTTTAAAGCTTACATCAGATTGGTTTTGTTGGCATTTGGGTGGAGTGCCAATTAAAATTGATGTAAAATTTCATTCGCAGTTCATATCTATCAGCGTTTGAACGAGTAGAATTTTATATCGTAAATCAGTGTAAAACCTCATCTAAAGTAAAATAAAGTTTTATATTGATTATCGATGTAAATACTAATCAATAAAATTGATGTAAAATATCACATTTTTCAAAACTCAACAGTCAGAACCATTTTAAGGTTAACATCGAATTTTACATCTATGAGGTTTTACACTGCTTCCAAAAGCAGCCTTGAGCTGTATTTGAAAACAGTGCAAACATATTTGTACTCTTACCAAAGGCAGCCTTAGGGTTGGCACTTTATTCTAGCATGAAAATGCAGACTTGATTTGATTTTACATTGATAAATTTAATCAAAGGTATTTGGTGATACTGGGTAGAAACACCAATGGCTAAATAAGTATTTTTATCCATAAGATCCAATTTGGCTTATTTATTGCTTAATACTTTCAACCATCTCCGAGAGTCTGAGACTTGCATTGGTGGAATGGAAGCTACATCCATTAATTACAAGTCAGTTTAGTATTCCCCCACTGCATCTGGGATCAATGCTCTCTGCAGTATGCAGTTAGCTTTAATTAAGACACTCTTTCTCCCGGCCCTCATCTCCTCAGGGACGCGCAGACCAGCAGGTCATGAATCATGATGCAGTGAGTCAGTGACAGTGGGGTTGCTCTCTCTCTCTCTCTCTCTCTCGCCCTGCCTGTGTGTGTGAATTTGCAGAAACTGTACAACTTGGGGGCCAGGAAGATGGTGTTGACTGAAATTGGGACGCTTGGATGCATACCCAATCAGCTATCCATGGCAAACGCTGACAACGGTTGCGTGGAGAGGGTCAACAACCTGGGCATTTTGTTCAACGATCGTCTCGCCCAGCTCACCAAAACACTCAATTCCACCCTCCCTGGTTCATTTTTCGTCTATCAGAGCGTATACCAAACCTTCTATGATATGGTGATCCACCCTTCTAACTACGGTCATTACCTCTCACCTCCAACTTCATTGTTTGCAGGGTTCTTTGTGGCAAACGCTGCTTGTTGTGGGAACGGGAGGTATGGAGGAGAGGTGACCTGCCTCCCCTCACAAATCCCTTGCTCCGACAGAAGCCAATATCTGTTCTGGGATGCGTTCCATCCAACCCAAGCTGTCAATGACATTATAGCGAACAGGTGCTATAGTCAGAACGCTACCGACTGTTCCCCTATCAGCATCTATCAGCTTGCTCAGATATAGCTCATTTAAATGGGCAAAAAATTAATAATAAATGCTTCGAGTTCCAAATTTCAAATCATGTCTCCATTTCCCTCGCTTGGCTCATTAGATTGAAACAATAAGGTTCGCTCAGATGTGGGTCTATGCTGAACAAAAATAAGAGGGAAGAAAACATTCTTGAAGGGCAAGTTCTTTCGCTTCAAAAGAAAATGGAAGGATGGATTGAGTTTGAATAATCCAAACCAGTCGAACCAGCAGATTAGAGTGCCTTAACAATATAGGACTCGCTGCCCTGCCCCCATTTTTCGAGTGTTGATCTATAAAAATTTTTGGTGAGTTAACATCACAGTTTAATGGCTTCATTGCTTGGCATCACCAGATCTGTTACATCTTTCCCTTTCCGGTTCTGGGTCGCTCTTTATTAGTTTATTTATTCTTTATCCAAGTAAACTAATGAAATCTCTACGTCGAATTGCCATCGTCCTCCGTCCAAAACCTGCAAACTCTGGATTCTGAAATTCAAACTACATCCCAGAAGCTTACTTTGGGAACCCCTGCTTCAAAGCATTTACACCAGTAAGGAAAATATGATACCGATCAAAAAACAAAGTGCGGAAAATATGAAGTACGCGCGCTTTTCCAAGACTACCACATGGTAAAATTGATAGCAACTTCTAACAACCCCCACCTGGCTAGCTGGTCCAGGAACATGACTAGAAGGTGCAACAAGTGTGAACACTTGGCTCAGCTCAGAGAAGCTCTTTGCAGCAAACCCTAAGGGAAGCCCGGACAGGGAAGATGGAGAAAGGAGTTTTAGTTCTTGTACCATTTCTCAGATCTCTGTCTCTAGTGCTATTTGGGTTTGCTGTTCTTGCCGTCCGAAGCCAAGATAGCCCACTTACACCAGCCATGTTCATCTTTGGAGATTCATTGAACGATGGTGGCAACAATAACTATATACCCAGCATTGCACGAGCAGATTACTTGCCTTACGGGATTGATTTTGGTTTCCCAACTGGTCGGTTCTGCAACGGCCTCACCGTCGTCGATTATGGTGGTAATATCACATGTTAATACAACACTTCAGCATGTTGTGTCTCCAAGAACATCGAGAGCTTCATATTCCAAATCTAATTTGACCATCCAATTTTTTTTTCCCTTTTCGTTTTTATTGTTGCTTCATAGTTCATACCCATCGAATCACTCACTGTGTCTCTCTTATCTGATTAATTTCTATTAATTTTAGCTCGGTTATTGGGCTTACCGCTTATACCACCATATTTAAGTCCACTATCAAAAGGAATGAACATCTTGAAAGGAGTCAACTATGCATCGGCAGCGGCTGGAATCCTCGACGAAAGCGGCAAGAATTATGTATATATCCCTACCCTTTGCTCAGTTTCTTTAGTAAATCCGAAAACATACTGGGTCTTTGTTTTTTCTTCTTATTTCTTCTTTCCTTTACATAGTACTTTTCAGAGGATATCAAAATAATGCAAGTTCAGTGCTTCCCAAAGAGTTACTTTTGGAGAATCCAGGAAGGAAATTTTCATCTTTATAAAATGTGATTACTGATTACTGTAGCAGTAATTAACCCAGATTATAAGGCCTCAAATTTGACTGATTTGTTACAAGATATTAGAAGTATTTGAGCAATTTCATTTCAAATATCAAGCACAGGAAGATTTGTACAGGGGCCATATCATTTTAACTTTTGTTTTTTTCATTGATTTGAAGGGAGCACGAATAACCTTTGATGGACAGATAGCATTATTTGAGAAGACTGTGAAGCACGACTTACCGCCATTGTTCCAGAGCCTCGAGGCCCTATCCAGGTACCTTGCAAAATCAGTTTTCATCGTCACAATCGGTAGCAATGACTACATCAACAATTACCTCAACCCCACCATCTCCAACAGTAGCCAAATCTACAGCGGAGAAGAATTTGCAGATCTCCTCATCAGGGCCTTATCTCAACAACTAACGGTAATCACCAACTATAAAACTCTGTGATCAATGCCCTTTGCTGAAAATATAATCTCAAAAAACCCATCAATGGCGGTGCATCAGGCCTTTGCAAAAGAATCAGTTTTAAGCCCGCAATTAAAATCACGGTAACAAAAGAAGAAAAAAATAGAGAGACTTTGTTATCGAAACCCAACAGAGCCTCTATTACCACCCGCTAATGAATGCTAGAGATTCTCTTAGAGACCACCACAAGTCCACAATATCACCATGCCAAAGGCAAAGATGAAAACTTCTGCTATGAAGACTAGCTTTTAGATTATATTTGTCAGCGTCCTCTTGCTAAATCATAACCCCAAAGATCATAATTGTGTCTGACGATAGTGGTTTCACTGTCCGCAGAAATTGTATGGTTTGGGCGCCAGGAAGATGGTTCTGGGGGGAGTTGGCCCAATTGGATGCATACCCGATCAACTATCCAAAGGAAATGGCAAGAATGGTTGCATTCAGCGGATCAACGACTTGGCAGTTTTATTCAATGATCGTCTCATGCGGCTAGCAAGCAGCCTCAATTCCACCCTTCCAGGCTCATTCTTTGTATATCATAACATATTTGACGTTTTCTATGACATGGTCATCAACCCTAATGAATACGGTTAGTACCCATTGCCATTCATTTTTTTTTAAAAGGACTCTTGCAAAGAGGTGTTTCAAGGCTTTGAGAATCTCATTAGACATGTAGGCTAGAAACATAGAACTCTTATTCATAGCTTTTCTAGTAAACATAAATGAAAACTTTCTTGTGTTCTTGAATTCCATTTGGGCTAGATCTTGATTACCTTTCTTCATATTTCTAAGTTGCCACCTCATGTTGCAGAGTTTACTGTACCAAACAAAGCCTGCTGTGGGAATGGGAGGTATGGAGGGGCTCTGACTTGCCTTCCTCTACAGCTGCCATGCTCGAGTAGAAACCAGTACATTTTCTGGGATTCCTTCCACCCAACCCAAGCTGTCAATGCCATTGTTGCCAACAGGGGCTACAGCAAGTCTGCAACTGATTGCTACCCAATCAGCGTCTACCAGCTGGCACAGATATAAAAAATGAAATGTGGAGAAACAAGCAACTACTGTATATGCAATGACAGAATGACTGATTGGAAATTGGAATACAGGATAACAAGATTGTGCATCATATTTTCCATCCACCCAATCTATTTTCTTAAAGCTGCGTTTGCTTGGTTCCTGTTAGTTTTTGCTGAAAAAAAAAACAGAGGTACTGATCAGAAGTACCTTAATGCTAAAAAAAACACTTGGCAAGTCATTGCTTCTTCAGGCCAACCATCTTTACTATATAATGCTAATATCTGCCTTGGCCTCGTATCCAGACAACCATCCAAAAACTCTAGTCTATTTATTTTCTTATTGCCACTACCTCCCCTCTCTCCTCTTGTACGTGGCATTCAACTAGTCCTAAGTAAAGCAATGGCAATGCAATTCTAGCTGGACCATCAACAGTAGAAGCCACCAGAACAACTCAATGTGTTAAATATGGCAAAAGCAACCCCCTTCCCTGAAAAATATGGAAGTTTACTTAATTCATTACTTTTTGTTTGTTAATGAAAATCAAATTCAAGCTTCTAGGACAAGATCATCCTATTACATCCCCAAAGAGAATATATTTAAATTGGCCTCTGGAAGCAACCAGTACCAATAAATATAATTCTTTATCTTGTACAATAGTTAGCCTTCTTGGTTCATTTCATGATATCCTTTTCCTCCAACTGTTTCTGCATGGTAATTTATATTCTTCATATTGGAGTTCAATGATGTCAGTTTGTGCGTGTGTGTACTAATTTGGGGTTAGTCCATCTATGACACAATGTATGTCCCTTTGACTAGGTGCAGAACACCTCTGTATTCGACCAGAAGCATTCAACTAGTTGGCAGACTTGGATTGGCAACAAAGGTCCAAAATTCATTCTTCTAGACTGAGAATCAGCAATGAAGCACTAGAATTCTGAGGAAGAAATATTTGGTCTAGGTGTATGAAGACCTTACCACTACATTAACAATAGCAATTCGAACATCAACAACCATATAGACATTTGAATGGAACAGGCGAACAGCCCAACTTTCAGCAATCACCTAGTAGCCATTTACTGATACTTGCTCAAGAATACTACACCATAAAAAGCAAGTCAAAGAAATCAAAAAAGAATGGAAGATAAAGTAAAAATAAAGCAACAAGAGTATGCCATTTAGACTTCTCTTGCAATCAAATTGCAGCAACAAATTGATAACAAAGGGAAGTACCAGACTCTAGAAAGAGCCACTTACATGTGTTGAATATTTTTAGACAGTATATATGAATTTTAGAAAATCCAAAACTTTCTTGTATTCATTTCTGGACCTCCCTATCCATGATGCCTTCATCTGACATGTTTACTCCTTGACCAAGAATCTAACTAGTGAAGCAATGAAGTCATGTCAACGACCAAGCCTTTATCCCAATTTCATTGGTAATTTAAAAGCAAACCATGGAGTTAAGACTTGTTTCTCTAAGATGGAGCAGTTGATGCTAAATTCCTGAATGTGGTGCTCTCTTAGGATGATGAAAACAATATGCTAAGATAGAAAGGCAACTGGATACCATTTTGCAGCCAGTTAAGTAAGAAAAACGGAAATCTAACTCATGGATGGATGGATAAATGTGCAGAGACAGGGAGGGGGCAGAGATTGAGGAAAAAAAGGTGAAGCAAATGATGATAAACCATGAAACTCTCTCCAACAATTGGAAGGCATTGCCACAAAGTGCACTGCCCTTCTCAGTGGATGGAAGCATCAAATCTTGGCTCATAGAAACAGACCTGGCTGTTGTAGGACTGAAGAGCACAACCAGCAATCCAAGACCATACTTTCTTATCTACATCATAAAGAAGACCTTTCCCTTGATTCCATGATGTAAAACAGATCAAATTATCCTGTCCAAAGCATTCGAACCTCTCCGCTGATAATCTCAAAAGTGCCCTAAAATACTTTGGGGGCATCCTACTTATCTCCACCCACATAATCTTCGTATGATCCAACTCCCAAATTCTCATACTCTGTAGAGTACTATAAAGTCCTATCCTTCCAACCAGAAACAATCGCTTTTGTGTGCCAGCTACCAAATATCCATCCAACAAGGAACGAGGGAACTTAGCTGGTATATGTTCCCAGCACCCTGTGTCTAGGCGATACATCATCAAACCAAGTGGAGAAAGGGTCTCCAGGTAAAGCCTTGAGTCACAGAACGCCATCTTAGAGGAGCAAAGATTAACGGCAGGCATTATCTGATGAACTGACCAAGTGTTAAGCTTGGAATCATAGACCTCAGTGGGTAGTGTCTTGTCACCATAAATATCACTTGTGGCAATCACTTTGAACGATCTATCTGTCCGGTTGGCAACCATGATCATTTGCCTTTGCTGGTTATAATGCATACTGGGCAACGTCCTCCAAGCTTGGGTGAGGGGGTTGCAGACCAATGTCTTAAAAGTTAACCCATCTAATCCGGAGAAGCAAACAAGACCCCCAGAAGAACCAACTAGCCAGAATGCCCACTGTGGTAAGAATGTCAATGGGATTTTATACCATGTTTTCAACGGCAAGCTGAAGACGGAGCACTGAGGGATCTGCGAGTTGTTCCAGAATGTGAGAAGACAGGGCCCATGCGATGGCACTTCTGAATGGAACTTAAGAAAGCTACTATCTTGGAGAATCGAATTCCACCGTTTACACACGGACCGGAGTCGGAAGATCATGAATGGGGGAACCCTAGCTAGAATTTCATTGAGCAGGTCTTCCGGTAACATTGCCCATATATTGTCTTCCATCTGAACATCAGGATGGACAGGTTTAGCAAATGTGGCAGCAGTTTCTTCGTCGAAGCCGCGTGGCTTGGTCTTGACCACCTTCTGCCTAGAAGGGCTTGTATTCCTCGATCCAGCTCTGCCAGAAGGGCTAGTGTTCCTCGACCTAGGTGCCCCCAAAGGTGAAACTGCCTTAGAACAACTGTCATCTTCCTGGTAAACGTCATTTCTGGACAATGAGGACCCTAATTCTCCAGCTCCAGATTCAGAAACCCCTCCTCCATCTCCGCTCATTGTTTCAGAAACCAAATACAATCTGAGCTCCCAGTTACAATGATAGTTTTGATAAATTGAACACCCAAATCTAAACCCTAATTCACATGTTATGACACCCGAAATCTCCCATGCAATCAGGCATTTTCTTCCACCAAAATGGAAGCCCAAAGATCCTAAACCCTAAAATCCGTAACTTGGCAATGAGAAGCGCAGCTCAGATCAAAAGAAATACTTCTTCAAGAGATCCAATTACTGAGTCAAAACGATCAAGAAAAGTCGAAACTTTAATGCACAGAAAAAAAAAGGGTAAAGAAAACCAAAATTCCAGGATCAAAAGGGTACCTTCGATTCGATTCTCAACACAAGCACTTACCCCTCTTCAGCCTCTGTTACCCTGAGGAACAAACGCCGTTCAGAATTGTCCAGGCACGTAAAGGAAGAAGGAAGCCACCCAACACCAACACCAACAGGCCAACAGGCCAACCCCTCTCTGTCTCTATCTCTAGTCGGTGCACAGAAGACAGAAGTCCCTCCCCTCGCTGAGCCTCTGGCCCTTTCTGTGTCTGCTGTATTGCCAATGTGAATTTTTTATTATCGCTAGTGAGAAATCTGATTATTTTATGGGGGAAACGGCGCGTAAAATATGTGAAGCGGCTCAAACAGTCAAACGATGCGCTCTCTCTCTCTATCTCATTTGGAACCCACAGCCACGCCCACGCTGGCATGCATCACCGTACATGAAGATCATTTTCTATACCATATTATATATGATTTTCCCAACTCTACCAACAAGTCTGAACTCTCTCGTTGATTTGAAGCTCCAGCCCACCAATCAAACAGGGCGAAGATTGAGGAATTGTTTGGCAGTTGGCAACTCGGCAGCATGCCACGACAATGATCTTCATGGCCAAAACTCAAAAGGCGCCCCTCCACCTCCACCTCCACCTTCGGATATGGATCACAGTGCTTGTCAAATGGTAGGTGCCTGCACTTTTTCAACCCCATCAAGATTCCGGAGTTGTTGTTTTTCTATGGAAGTTGTTGCGGAATGTACTACAAGTGAAGAAAAAGAAAAAGATGGAAGCAAGAGAGAGAGGCCCATTATTCCAATCGGTGGATTGTCTCCTATCACATCATATACTGCAATTTGCTTCTCGGGTCCTGCCTGCACCCTTTTTTTGGCTTGGCCGATGAGAAATCAGAAATGGGCTACAAAAAGGTATTGGGAATTAGAATGCAACCATAAACAGGCAACCTACATAGAGCTGTCAATACTGAGTCGGGTCTACTTGATAGATAGATTACAACTGACCAAACTGATTACATGGTTCATGATGATTCTATTTATTGTTTGTGTCCAAATTAATAATTGGATTAGAATTGATTATATAGTTAATAATATATAAACGCTTATTATTTTCTCAACATATATATATATAAGCACTTTACTATTTTTGTTGAAGCTATATTATCATAAACCAAGTTGATCAGACTGGATTATCATTGATTCAATTCTGGGTCTAGAACTGATTAGTTATTGGTTCGGAACCGGAGGTGAAGGGTCAGTTGGATTCAAAGTTGGGTTGGGATGGAAAATACCAAACCTATGTATTAAAACTGGGTTTGCCTGGCAGGGCCTCGGAAAACCAGACCTAACCCAACCCATCAATCTGGATGTTGGACTGGCTCGAAAAAAGACCATTAGGTTGCCAAATGCCGATCGAGCCTCTAATCAACTCTATCTGAACGATGCCGCGCGTCCTCTACCTGACTACGCTCGCTCTGTTACTGGGTCCGGACTCCGGAGTCTGAGCAGAATTCATGATGATGATACATACAGTGTGATTATATTCATTCACTTGTTAAAGCCATATTTTTACGAGGCTGCTCATCCACCCGATCGTACTTACAGCATGAGGGGTTGGTTCACTGAACCGCCTTGACAAGGCTGCATGCCCCTACGCTGTTCACAATTCCTCAGGCCACACTGTCACAGTAGGCAATGGGCCAGACCCAACAAATTAAAGAGCATCACAGCTGATAGTAGCTGGGCAAAGCCAAGCCCAACAAGACAACTGTCCCCGTTTAAATGAGCTGGAAATTTTGACAACTTGTTAACCTCCTGGATAAGGAGATGCAATCTAGAGTCATAGTAACCTGCCTCGTGCTGCACTCCTAGAGAATCAGATCCCACTAATGAAGCTGTGTCCCATTTAATATATTGAAATGTCAAAAATTAGCTTCACCAAGCCGAGCCATTGCACTTATGCTTTCATGGTACTTATTCTCACAGTGAAGATAACATTTTATAAAAGTTAAAGAATGCTCTGATCTCTGAATTAAGTTCATCTGATATTTCTGATTTCCATGCTGCATTTTAGTGCATTAGAATATGCTGTAGCCTGTAGGTCAGGCTGAATATTTTGTCCTGGAACAGAAGACGACCTGTACGTAGATTGGTCCGAGTCCTCAATAGTTTGGTAGCTATTCCCTTATTCCATGGACCCACCATTAAATTGGCCCAACTTTAACAGATCAGTAGAGACTAGAGACAAAAAAAAAAAAAAAATGGAGTACTATTGCATTTAATTGGACAGTAAAATCCTGATTAAGAAGCTCGATCTACAACTACAAACAATGCCTAGAACATATGGTTGAAGATCTGACTCTGCTCATTTACTTGTATGGTGGTGAGGTGTTCATTGTTTGTTTTTAATTGGTTGTACTGGGATGGTGTTTCACTTTCAGAAAGGAAGCATCAGTGTTGATTGGTATACTACTTCAGTGGTATTTCACTTTTAAAGTAGGTGCCTGATGGTGCTAGTGCAGTGATTGTACTTGAGTGTTGATGAATGTGAATGGGGTTCCACAGAAACTTACAGATTGCTTTTATACTTTGTAATAGAGGGTGCTAGGCTACAGGAATCCCACTTTTTCAAACCAGTTTAAGTTTAAATAGTGCAGTTCTGCCAGGGTTTCAGCATTGGCATGCAGATTCCCATTTCAGAGAGGGGATTACAGTAACCATTCTAGCTTCATATTGTACTGGTTGATCGCATTCTGAAATAAAACCATATTTTGCAAATTGCAAGTGAACCTCTCAATAAGGTTCAATTTGAACAAGTTCTGCTTGATGGTAGGATTGGATCGGATATGCCTTAATTCATTAATATTCTGATTCAAACCAGATATTATCCACTGATTCAGATTGGGCTTGGATTTTCATATTATTAATAAATGAAAATAAAATAATTAAAATATTATATGTAAGTAATAGAAAGAGCTAGAAATTAATGGCTTTGATATTGTCTAGGGGACTTTATTAGGGTCCATTCCATTTTTAATAAATTTGGCATATCCCCAGTGATGACAAAGGATCATTATGTGTTTCTATGAGACTTGAAACCTTTGATTCTTTGGCAAATATAAGAACTTGGGGTGGATCCATATTTGGATCAAATTCAAATGCAAAAAAATCGATACCATTTACAGCCTACTTAATTAAAAGGTTAAAATAACCCTTGGGGTTTGGCTAGAGGGTGATTCTTAAAATGTCATGAACTCATGGTTTGTCTGATTCAAATAATTCTCCATCAAACACAGTGGTGCCTGTTACAGACCTTCAAAGGCCAATTCACCATATATGATTAATTTCACTTTTGTTTATCTGTGTCCCAAGTCACAATTTTGCTGGACCAGGGCGCTAATGTCCATCACGAGGGCATGCAGTTCCTAAATGATCCCAAATGAGTATGTCTTGATGATATACAGTCACTGAAAGGCTTGCTGAGTGCTGGTTTACATCAATTCAATCTGTAATATTAAATAATACCAAGAGTTGAAACCATAATTTAAAGTAGGTTCTTAGCTCAAATTATGTTCAAGTCGGAAGCAACAAGCAAGCAATTGAAATAATATTCCAAACCTGGTCCATATCTAAATTCATGGCTTTGGTCTAATTAATCATAATGTGTGTTATGGGCCCGAGCGTAGGATCGCGTCACGGGTTGCTCTATCGCAGGAACCTCAGATCTTTCCTTGCCCTTGGCCTTGCGTTCAAACCCTATTTTGATTATCTCAGGGGTGATTTGTCCAAGAGATCACCGAACTCTCCTTTACTCTCTTTCTTGACTGAATAYTYGATATMYTCATTCAATAATAGCGTYTCCTTAAATAGGAGATTACAAGAGGAGGGTTCCTTGCTGGATTCGGCTAGGTTAGTCCTAAACGGACTCAAAACTCCTACTTCTAATTAGACTACTTACT